ATTACAGCCAAACCCATTTACACAGTAACAGATAAAAACCTTTAGATAAACCAAACATTACCGCCACATATCTGACTCAATAACCATTAAAACAACTATCTTCATTAATCTCAGACGGAACTATTCACAGAGTTGTATTATATTAAACTGAACTTCCAATTTTCACCACTGTTCGGCGCCAAGTAACCTTTCCTCTGATCACGGCCTGCTTGGTCTCACAATGAATCCTGGGTAAACCAACGATACCGCGGATACATCGACACCAGTCCTTCAAATCGGGCTAAAAGAAGGACGCATTTTAAGGCCGCATAACGAGGACTCTTGGAATCTGACCAGACCTCAGCGCCGCACTATAACATAATCGTACTTCGAATCTGGCCTTCTAAGGACGCGTCCTAGGTTTTCGAACAGAGCATGGGAGTGGTGCGGGAGCGGGAGTCATTCTGAATGGGAGCGGGATGGGAGTGGGAGTAATTTCACCAGGAGTGGGTCGGGACAGGATTTGGATTTCTACTCTGGCCCGGGATCGGGACGGGACACAATTTTTTTCTGTGGGAGTGGGACGGGACAGGAGTGAAAATCCACTCCCGTGTCAGTCTCTACTATATAGTCCCCACCTGTCACTGAGTCACCAGCCAACATCTCGGTTCCATCATCCGGTGGTAGGTTTAATTAACGTTTTCTCTTGCTCATTCTCCCGATCTCCTAGACGTGTCTAACTTTTGCTCTCACCACAGATCGATCAAGTCCCGCCTGCGCCGATGACCCGTTTGCTCTACCAAGCCTCAGCTTCCAGTTTTCGTGCTCCTTGCTGTTTGTTTAATAGAGATCTGAAACTGCTCTTGCCTTCTGTGTTAGTTCTGCATTTCGTTCAAGCACCTAAAAACCATGACAATCTTCAGTCGGTTCTTTGAGTGAGTTGCTGACGTTAGTAAATAAATTTGAGGTGTTTACAGAAGGTGTCTCTGTTTCCCTGACAGCTCCAAGCCATGTTAAGTATTGTATTTAGAGATAAACGAAATGGTGCATGAGGCTGCAGTAAATTACCCTCAAATTGAGATGCAGGGATTGTGGCGTGACATGAATACGCATGGTTGTAAATATCTGAATGCTGCTGTGTTGCGACAAGTTTCGAAATTTCTCCCAACTGCCAACTTTTTGTAGAATAGCAACACAGTGATTCATGCCTGAGGCTCCAATTAAGTACTGGGACTGAATCAAAGGAATACTTTGAAGACCTTACTAGACCGGGTTGTTGTATAACCCAGGAGAAAGTTCTAAAAAAGGTCAGGCTGCAGCTGCTTTTGTTTTAATGTGGGGATTGTTGTTTACTTTTCCAATTCCAGTAATCAGGAATCTGAGGCAGCATTTCTCACTTAACCCAATCTTCACCCTTAAATAGGACTCAGGGGATTTTAGATCTACATTTCTTTAACTGCATTGTTTTGAAATTGAATCGGTTATCTTATCTAAGTGTTTCAGACTGTTTTTCTTGCCGCACTGCGGAACCAAAAGCAATCAGATTTTTATCGACTGGGTCACTTATTTTATACAATAGTTAATTTCTTCAGAACCTCATGCCAGCCTCTCTGAGTGGGAAAACTGACAGGATCTGTGGTAATTTTCACTAAACGACCTCTGATCTTCCAAATCTGGCAACAAGTAAAGCAAGATTGTTTCAAGCTCAGCAGATGGAAGCCTGCCAAGGAAAACGGTGCTAACTGCATTGTTACTGTTCACATGGAGAGGGGAAGACGGTCAGCCATCACATTTCCACTTCATCACATTTCCTCAGAATGCATTAGTCATTATTTAAACTTGAAACACAAAAAAGTCTTGGGAATTACTCATTTTATATTTTAAATCTAAAAAGACATTCTCTAAATGCCTTTCGAGATTTTTCACTGCTTTACTCCAATCTTGATTATATATTTTTTTTACTGCAGATAGAGAAGCAGTAGCTTTCATATTTACAGGTACTAAAAATATTTAATTACCTGTGACTTTAAGTAACATACCATCCTTGATCTATAGCCTTAAAAATGAAGTTGATTCACCGTTTTTTGTTCAGGTTTATGGGAGGTTTGGCCTTATCTCTGCGAGGTCATGGATTGATTCTGGCTCTGGCTATCTGCTCTAATAGATCCAAAAGGAATTCTTTTAGGCTGACATCAGGACTCTGTTCAGTCCAGCTCTTGTACAACAAACTCTCTCATTCATGTCTGTGTGGACCTGGTTTCGTACCCAGGAGCTAAAGAAGTAGGCTGTCAGTGAAGGTAATGAGCAGCAGACATAGAGGTTAATGGTTGTAATTAGGGAGAGAATTTCACAGAGAGACACCAAAGTGAAACTATAGATCAGTGTTGTTTTTGGCAGCCATCTTAGATTTAGTCTTATTTTCAGTCTTCAGGACAAAAATTAAATATTAGTTTTAGTCACATTTTAGTCCTTACTAAACAGTACAGACCAAAAGTTTGGACACACCTCCTTATGTGTTTTCTTTATTTTCATGTAGATTCACACTGAAGGCATCAAAACTATGAATTAACACACGTGGAATTATATACTTAACTGAAAATATGTGTTATATTTTAGGTTCCTCAAAGTAGAAACCTTTTGCTTTGATTACTGCTTTGCACACTATGCATTCTCTTGATGAGCTTCAAGAGGTAGTCGCCTGAAATTGTTTTTACTTCACAGGTGTCCCCTGACAGATTTAAAAAGACTGATGTTTTGCCTTATAACAGACATGGGCAATGTGGAGTCAACAAGTCATCCCCATGTCATGTATTTAATCTACCCAGCCAATTAACCAGGTGAGTCCAATCTGCACAGGTTAATTCACGGTGAAGATTGGACTCACCTGCTTCAGTGGCTGGGTAGAACAAATACATGACATGGAGATGACTTGTTGACTCCACATTGCCCATGTCTGCCTTATAAATGGGGTTGGGACAATCAGTTGTGTTGTGCAGAAGTCGGGTGGATACAGAGCGGATTGTCCTACTGAATAGAGTATTAGAATTTGCATTATGGCACAAAAAAAGCAGCGAAGTAACGAAAATTGAGTGGCCATCATTACTTTAAGAAATGAAGGTCAGTAAGTCAGAAAAATTGGCAAAACTTTGAACTGTCCCCAAGTGCACACACAAAAACCATCAAGCGCTACGAAGAAACTGGCTCACATGAGGCCCACCCGAGAAAAGGGAGACCAAGAATCACCTCTGCTGCGGAGGATACGTTTAGTTGGACCATCATTTATTTTTCAACAGGACAATGACCCCAAATACACCTCCAGGCTGTGCAAGGGCTATATTACCAAGAAGGAGAGTAATAGGGTTCTGCACCAGATGACCTGGCCTCCACAATCACTGGACCAGAACCCATTCGAGATGGGTTAGGGTGAACTGGACCGCGGAGTGAAGGCAAAAAGGTCAACAAGTACTAAGCATCTCTGGGAACTCCTTCAAGACTGTTGGAGGACCATTTCAACTGGTTTTCCTTAGATAGAAAATTTGAATCAATCTGATTGTATGAGCTGGTCTCAAGAGCCTTGAGATGACATGTGCCGTGAATTGGCGCTATAGAAATAAACTGAATTGAATTGAATAGGTGACTGGGTGCTGGTTTCGTATTTAAACATGCCATTGTACACTACTCAAACAAATTAAAGGAACACTTTGTAATCAGAGTAAAGCATCAAGTTAATTACACTTCTGGGATATTGATTTGGTCAGGTAAGAAGCAGAGGGTTGTTAATCAGTTTCAGCTGCTTTGGTGTTAATGAAATTAACAACAGGTGCACTAGAGGGGCAACAACAAGACGGCCATTAAAACAGCAATGGTTTTACAGGTGGACGACATTGAAATTTTTTCCCATCCTCATCTTTTCTCTGTTTCACCAGTTTTGCATTTGGCTAGGGTCACTGGAACTACTGTTAGCATTAGGCGCTACCTGGACCCTTCAGAGGTTGCACAGGCAGTCCAACTCCTCCAGGATGGCACATCAATACGTGCCATTGCCAGAAGGTTTGCTGTGTCTCCCAGCACAATCTCAAGAGCATGGAGGAGATTCCAGGAGACGGCAGTTACTCCAGGAGAGTAGAAGGTCTACAACCCATCAGCAGGACCGGTATCTGCTCTTTTGTGCAACAAAATGACCTCCAGCAGGCCACTGGTGTGAATGTCTCTGTCTGGAGAAGGCGTGGAGAACGTTATGCTGCCTGTAACATCATTCAGTATAACCGGTTTGGTGGTGGGTCAGTGAAAGGATGAAAAGACCTATACAGGCTAGACAACGGCACCCTGACTGCCATTAGGTATCAGGATGAAATCCTTGCACCCATTGTCAGACCCTATGCTGGTGCAGGGGGTTCTGGGTTCCTCCTGGTGCACGACAATGCCCGCCTCATGTGGTGAGAGTATGCAGACAGTTCCTGGAGGATGAAGGAATTGATACCATTGATTGGCCCCCACGCTCCGCTGACCTAAATCCAATAGAACACCTATGGGACATTATGTTTCGATCCATCCGACGCCGCCAGGTTGCACCTCAGACTGTGCAGGAGCTCAGTGATGCCCTGGTTCAGATCGGGGAGGAGATACCCCAGGACGCCATCCGTCGTCTCATTAGGAGCATGCCCTGACGTTGTCAGGCATGCATACACGCACATGGGGGCCATACAAATGACTGAATACCATTTTGAGTTGCAGCATTGAAACTTCAGCAAAATGGACCAGCTTGCATTATCATTTTTTCACTGTAATGTTTGGGGTGTCTTTGAATTCAGCCCTCTGTAGGTTGACAATTTTCATTTCCATCAAATTATGTGGCATCCTTTTTTCCTAACACATCACCAAACCCATATCAGTATAAATAAATGGCATGATCTTTTCCCAATTGAAATCTGATGTGTTTTTAAAGTGTTCCTTTAATTTTTTTCAGCAGTGTATAATGAGTTCTCTAATTTCTTTCTGATACGATCATCAGACATATGTACCTCTCAGATGAGCTGCTGATAGCCCAAGGTGCTGATGAGGCCTGCTTGGTTCCAACAGGCAGGTCCGTTGGTCTCGGGTTCGTAAACGTTGACAGAGGTTCTACTGAAGTCGGAGTGGACCTGGAAATGGAGGAGAGCGGACCAGATGGTACTTCTTCTCTCTGATCCTCAAGGGTCTCAGTGGGTTCTGACAGTCTGTCCGTCTTTAAGATGTCCTCATCCTCGTTGTGTCCTACGCTCTGTTGTTTACATTGTCCAGCTGCTGCATCAGCGTTTCTCCCTGGAATGCAGGACTCAGAGTCTGTTGGCTTAGGAAGGACGGTTCCTGTTGTCCAAACACAGCATCCATCATCTTGCTCCAGCCAGCTGCTGAGCGAGAAAATCATCACCATTAAAGTGGTAAATCTGTACAAATCAAAGCTGGAGAATAGGATAGTATGAGATAATTTTTCTATAAATAACTTACCCGTCTGCACTCTGGTGCACTCCAGTCTCAGAATAAACAGGAACAGCCTTCTCTGACTCTACAGCACAGTCTCTGAACTCTGAAAATCTCCCACCCAGAGCTGCAGCCGACCCTGAGGAGGCGCTGTGGATAATAGGCTGGGTTCTGGGGCGCTGAGGGGATCCAGATGCCACAGCACTGTGTGTTGGAGTTACTGCAGGTTGGGCCAGGGCAGAGATGAAGTCTCTGGGCCTAGAAAGAGGGACTCCATTGGTCTGTTGATTACAAGCGGCAGTCACATGTCCCAACAGCAGAAGCTCACAAGGCCGTGCCCCTTTCTTCTGAAACTCTACAAAACAAAAAAACAACAACAAAAAAACATGTTTTAGTCTGTGGAAAATCTCAAAAGTTAAATGTCAGTTTCCTGTGATGAAGATAACCAGACCATGTTGATCATCTCTGAAATTTCCAACATGTTCAGAGATCCATTAAGGAGAAAAAAAATTGATTCAGTTTCAGAGTCCAAAGTCTGGATTCTGTACCACTGGAGCCTGAAAAGGCTCTAAGAGTGAGAGTACCCCCACCTGTGAACTAGCAGGAAGTTCTTCTTTCCTATGTATTCCTGGACTCCAAGCCTTAAACTTTCCTCTCATGTGAAATCGGGTGTCAGATTTAAATTTTTTTTCAGCTCTGAGGAGAGTCAAACGATTTGGGGATGGAATTGGCTGCTATTTACAAACAATAAAAAAACTACCAAATTGAGTAAAACAAGCCATGCTGTACTGTAGGCATTGAGGCAAGTGTTCTTGTGGTACCCGACATAAGTTTTTTTTTCATCACTATTCGATGTTTTTTGGAAGAGAATATTCTCAAAATAAAGCATAAAGCTGCAGGCCCAGGTTCTGTCCTGATTCAACAATTAAAATATAAATAAATAAAGGTTTTATAAACTCATGTCGAGTAGCTAAACTTTTGCTGTTTCTCTATTTGTGTACTTGTGCGTTCTCATGTGATCGTGTACTTGTGAAACATCATCAACCTCAGCCCTAGTACTGTTTCAATTCACAAGAACAGCAGACCGAGAACGGACAAAGTCCCCGGATGCTGTTCTCACCCCTCCGTACCCAGCATGCATCAGAGCAGACTTGTCTGTTCTTGAGACTGACAGCTGTCCCAGCATGCACTGCGGCAGCAGCAGCTTTCAATGGAGCGCTTACAGAGCTCAAAGTTAAGTTAAAACTTAATTCGTTGTTCAATAGAAGTACGTTTTAAGATCATTTGAGGCGAAAACATTGTACGTTCAAGCGTCACTATGTAGTCCCTTTACTGATTTAGTCATTTAAAAAACATTTCCAAAGTTGAGAGGACAGCAACCAGCGGACCTCCGAGGGTAACGGCAGCCAGAGCTAACCGCAGCTCGTTTGCAGCAGCTCTCACTTGGCATAGCCATGTGTGGCTCTTTTCTTTTATTTGGCAAAATGTTAATTTAATTTGTGTTTATCTGACTATGTTTATCATTATTCCAGCATCCAGAATAATTGGCGGCTCACATGAACCTAAGAAGTCTAAACCTTGGATCTGGACCAGAAGCTTCTTTAGCACAGTTTCAGTTTATCTGTATACCAGATCTATTGTTTTGGCTTTTTGTGGGCTAAATGTTCCAGGGAAATGATTCTTCCTAAGCTCATGTTTACATTACAGAACCTGCTAATTCCTAGACTGTGGAGAGCCAACTGAAAATGGACCAACCATTCATCTGATTTTCCCGCCTTTCCTCTTGATTCTTTGTCTTCTCCTCAATCGTGGTCTGGTTCTGGGTGGTTTGTTTCAGGGCTTGGTGTTCTGTTTTGCTCTCAGAACCACTCTGGGCTCCATATGGGGTCTCCTTTTCTTGATCTGACGGACTTTTGTCTCTGTTCTGGGTAGAACGCTCGGACAGCCTTGCTGTGACCCAGGCTTGGGTCCTGACGGTGCTGACCCGTTTGTGATGCAGAGGCACTTTCATGGCGCCGGCTTTGGCACTGTACATCCGAGCCAGAGTTTGGACCTTGCTTAGAATACGTTCTGAGTTCTCTATAAGGACCGGGTCCGCCACCGGGTTCACCTCAAACAAGCTGATACCGGTGACGTTGGATCCCATCCCTTCAAACAACGCCCGGTTGGCGCTGACGATCCTGGAGTGGCGAGACCATCGACCCACTTTACTCTGACTGGGGAAGCTCTCCAGGTTCTCCTTTGTGTTTGCCTGATGTCCAGTTTTGGTTCTGGAACACATGGATTGGGTTTTATTCTGTGTTTGTTCCTGTACTGGGACGTCTGTTGAAGGTTCTGACTGGCTGCTGGTTGGTTTTGGTTCGTTGGTGTCAGGCTGAGGAACGCCAACATTCTTCTCTTCCTCTTCTTCGCTTTCAGGACTTTGAGAAAGAGACGGTTTTTCTTCTTCTATGGTTCTAGATTCAATGTTCTCTCCTTCCTTTGGTTCCTCCAATGTCTCCTCTAGAGATCCTTTGTAGATGTTCCAGCTTTTATCCAGGAGCTCGGTTTCCTCTTCAGGTAAGGTTTTGGGATCTAACTCTGTGTTCTGTGGTTCTTTCATCTCATCAGAGCCTGTAGACCCTGCTTGACTCTCTGGATCCACCACACTGGAGCTCAGTGGTTCCTTCACCTCTCCATGTACTGGAAGCATAGCAGGAGTAAAGGAGGAACAGAGCATGGAGTCTGTATTTGCCTCCCCGTCTTCATTCACGCTCGCTTCCTCTCCATGTTTTCCAGGCACACTAAACCGTGAGACAGACTCCTTCACCAAGCCGGCTGGGATCTGTGAGAAACTCCCTCTTCTTCTTGACATTGCTCCTTCTCTTGACTCTTCCTCTTCCTCAGCTTCATCCTCCTCAGCCTCTGCAGCTGCTTCGTAGTAACTGCGGATCTTTTCAATAATCTTCTTGTCCTTCTTGGTCAGGTTGGAACCTTTTTTAGGTATGGGAAACCTCTGGATGGGTTGATGAAGGACATCTTGACTTTGGGGAGATGCTGCCGATTCTTCATCCAAGTCTGGTAGCTCACTGCTGATGTTCGTTTTTTCTTCTGGAGATAGGGAGAGCTGAGGAACTGATGCTGGAAGTATTTCCAGCATCTGTTCTGCTTCCTCATCACTTTCTTTTCCTCCCTCAGTTGTCTTCTCTGTTCTGTCCCGTTCCATCTCCTCCATCTCACCAGCAACATCTGGAATTTCCTTAACCTCATCTGTAGCCCTCTTGCTGTCATTGGATGAATCTTCTTCTTTGATGCCTTCTTCTTCCTGGTCATATTCAGAGATTAGTCTTTGCTCCGGGCTTGCAGCGATAGGAGGCAATGGGCAGGTGAAGCAGGTCTGGTTTGCTGGAGACTCGAACACACTGGTAGGCTCCTGGAAAACCAATAAAGCACAAACAGATTATTGCTCTGTTAAATTCAAATAGAAATGTGTTAAGTAGACGGTTCTAACCATGGCGGTGAGTCCTTCTCGTACTCTACTCTGGTTGATGAACTCCAGGATCTCCTCTGTGATGGACAAAGTAGGAGGAGGTCTCAGGGTGGCCAGCTCCTCTTCCTCCTGGATTAAAAACTCAATTATTAATTATATTTATTTACCAGCCATCCATCAGTCTTGTACCTTGCTGTATGTCTACGCTCATTACCTCCCCCTGCTGGTCCGATCCCAGACATAGTTTTATCCTCGGCTCATCCCGCTCCATCTCTACCTCGATAACCGATGAGGCGAGAGTACTGCTGCTGCCTGCAGAACCCAGACTCTCTGCAGGACATAGCTCTCCCTCGCTGCCCGCCTGCTGCAATGCAACATCTACAGGTCACCCATTCGGTTCAAGAGATTCCCAAATTCCTACATCTCTGGAATTTGACAAGATTTTAAGGGATTATTTTGTTTCTTTTTAGCATTTCTAATGAGCTGTGTGTCTCTATAACAGGAATCATCCTGGTGACCTAAGAACTGGAAGTCTGCGTTTCAGGAATTGTTTTCACTGCTCAAAAAAGGTTTCCTAATACCCCCCCACCCCCTACCCCCTGCCTCATGCACCATTATTTTACTTTCCCTTCTGGGAGTCATTTTCCTGCAACTGACTTCCGAAGCCATCAGAAATCTCAGACCTCATTAGTAAACCCAAACCAAACATTTCCTTTTTTTTTTTTTATAACTTTTTTAATACAATGGCGGCCTGAGCAGTGGAGTAACCACTTTGGAAAAGGGAAGTAAGGCTAAAATACATACAATTTATTTGTAATACATAAATAAATTCAAAATACAACAGACAACCCAAAAATGACTATGAAGAGAAGCAGTTGCAAGTGTCTGTGAACAAGGATGATATAATTGCTTTGGAGGAAGAAATTGAAATGGGTATATCCAGTTTAAGGATATTTAGCAAAGCGTTCCAGTCACGAGTGGCAGCAGATTGAAAAGAAGCCAGACCAAAAGTATATCATGCATCATTGGTTCAGTCATGTCCCTCATCTGTCCTCCCTTTCGCGACTGCTAACATTCACTCCTTACTTAATACTGGAATTGTCCCAATGCTGAGACAAGCCTGCAGGTATTAATGCTATACTGAAACAAAAACCTTAATCAGAGCCCAAGAATTATAATAATTTTTGTCTCATCTCCAAGTCACTATTAATCTCCAAAATAAACTAAACTTATCAAAAAAATCTGATGGTGCCTTTCAGACCGCACCGCTGGGAGTTCACCGCTCTGCATTTTAGATGCACAGTGTTCACACCCTGGACCGCGTCATCCAATTGGAGGAGCTGCAGCTGCATGAAGCTGACAACCCATCAAAAGAAATACACCGAATGATTATTGCTTCTTTACTGGAGGTTTCTGCACTTAAAATCATCATTTATTGAAAAAAGATCATGTGTGCTGCTGTTGTTTCAGAGATATTAAAGGTCATTTATTAGGTCACCCACTATCCCCCACATTAAGCTTGATCAAAATGATCTAACCTAATTTTTCAGTGCTACACGGTTTGTGCAGGTAAGACTTTTGTGCGGATTTTGTTTTTAAGATAGAATTATTTCTAATTACGGCCAATGAGAGCCAGCTCCTACGTCAAAGGATGAAAGAGAGCACATACAGTTAGTTAGAATAAGAGGAAAAGGACTATACACTGGAAAAATGATGTAGAAAAAAGTTACATTTCTTAAATTAAGTGTATTTACCTTTAATTTGATTAGGTATATAAGGTATTTTGCCAATGGAATGAATATTTTTACTCTTAAAATAAGATAATTACATAATATGGACTGGAAATAAGACAATGCAATTTTGTTTTCTCATTTTAAATGTAAATTGTCTTATTCCATTGGCAAAATGTCTCTTTTGCCTCCTCAATATGAGAAAAAATGCACGTATTTTACGAAAAAAAAGGACTTATCTAGATATCGATTTTTTCCAGTGTACTCCTACATCTATAAACAAAGGTGTTGATGGCAGCAGCACAGCTGCACTAGAATAAACTGACATCTAGATAAGTTGTTTTTTCTTCAAATAACTGCATTTGTTCTTGAATTGAAGAGGTAAGTGTGAAACTTTGCCAATGGAACAAAACAATTCACATTTAAAATAAAAAAAACAATTGCATTGTCTTATTTCAAGTGCTTTTTAATCTAATTATCTTATTTTAAGAGTAAATATTTTAATTCCATTGGCAGATATTTTTTTTTCTTCCTAAATTAGGGGTATATACACTTAATTTAAGAAATGTTGTCTTATTTCTGGATCGTTTTTGCAGTGTAGCAGAGCTCTCTCTCGCTGTTCTCCCAACTTTTTGAATTCTCTCCCATCAGACATCCTTAATATTCTCAGAAACTTTACTGCTGTTTAAATTAAGACTCCAAACACATTTTCAAGTGTGTTTAATCTGTTATTTGAACCTTTATTGAAGGGTTGTTTGATATCTGTTTTTTAATCTCCGTTTGTTAACTGACCTGGACGCTTGTAAATAAACTCCCAAAAAATTAAAAAAGACCCAATGCACTGGACTCCGTTAGCAAGTTTGATGACATTTCGGTTCCCATCCAGCTTTTTCAATTGAAAAATAAGGTTACACAGGAAAAAAATCGAAATCTAGATAAGTCATTTTTTATTCAAATAAGTGCATTTGTTCTTGGATTGAGGAGGAAAAAGAGACATTTTGCCAATGGAACAAGACAATTTACACTTAAAATAAGAAAACACACTTGCATTAACTTATTTCAAGTCCATTTTATCAAATTATCTTATTTTGAGAGTAAAAATATCTCATTTACCAACTCAAATTAAGGGTAAATACACTTAATTTAAGAAATTTGTACTTATTTCTAGATCGATTTTCCAGTGTAGTCTATAGTCATTCCTGGTCATAGTCCAGGCGTGACTATGACCTGGATGACTGAGAATGTTCACCAGCCTGAACATAAAATGTGTTAACCAGACACAAACGAGGACGTAAAAGTGGGATGACGTGGAAAATCCTACCTTCAGAGCTGCAAGATGGCCCAGATGGTGGGAAAGTTCCAGTTCAGCAGAGGGAAGAAAAAACATCAACAGGCATGTTAGCATTAAGTTAATTCCTTCATAACCATCCAAATAAAACAAAACAAAACAATTCATTTTAACATTTTTAACATTGTTGAGATGAGGAAAATGAGGACTCTCTGCATGACTGAGCCAAAACCAGAACCGCTGCCATGATTACATTCTAATATACAGGCACTTTGAACTGATTGTTTAGTAAGAAGTAAGTAAGAAGTGGAAGGCATTTTTTCATAGAAGCAAACCCAAAAGCTACATCTGGGAATCAGCTGGAGCAGGATAGGAGGAACTGATCTTGTCACTTCCTTCCTGCGAACATGTCTTCTGGGATACTTTTCAGAAAACATGCTTGAATAAGTCTGAGTAGACAGCAGATATCCGGAATAAACACATGACGCTATTGACAATTTAACTAGAATCTGAGTCAAGTCAGCCCAGCATTCAGAGTAACAGGAAGTATATAGGAAGCCCTGATTAGTGGACTCAGAAAAAAGGATCCACCACGACAACGAGAGGAAACAAGAAGCTTCAAAGTCTGCATTTTACACCAGTAGAGGACTCGAGCTTGAGGATGACACATACCAACCCACGAGGGGTGAGAAAACAGTTTTTTTTATATAGACTGATTATGGAGATTATCAAAACATGTTTAAACTGAAACTCATCTCAAAAAGCAAATCTTTTCTTGTACAGATCATGAACGTTTGAGTGGGATCTGATAAAGAGTTAAAGTTATATCCAGAACAATAAACATATCTAATATGAAGAAAGTAATGTATATTTGCATTAAATAAGCATCTAAATGTAATCCAGCAGGTGCAAAATAAAGATGAAGCAATAAATCAAAATAATAAAATCTGGTGAAATCAGGTTAGGTCCAGTTATTAGATTTAATTTTTAACCTTTGCCAACTTAATTAAACACTATTTTATGCTTCAATGAACTAATAAATATCAATAATATGTAAGAAGCTACATATTGGTTCATGTATTATTATGAAACAGCAGACATGCAGCTGAAACTAATATTTCTGTTTCTAAAGCTTCCTGTGAAATAGCTGTATTTGGGCTAACAAGGAAAATAAAAACAGGCCTAATATAAAAAAGGAAACCTGAAAGAATAAATATAACAGAATCTTTTTTATTTAGTGTAGAAGTGCTGAGTGTGATTCCATCTTTAGTTGTAATTATACTTGGTATAAGAATAGATCAAACCTGAAGTTTCAAAATCTGATAAAGGTTCAGTTATTGCCTTTATTTATACATTTACTTTAGTGGGATTTTTATTGAATTTTATTCTTCTTGTGGATTTTTTTACAAAGTACCACACATCTTATAAAGAACTGGAAATTTACCGTCATTTTTTCTATTTTTCAAGGCTGCACTTTCAAAAAAGATGAAATTGTCCAGTTTCCACATAAAATTTCTTTTTGTTTTACACTTGTGTAAACAAAATGACAAATAAATCTGTCTAAATCTCTTTTTGTTTGTCTGGGGGTTGGATAAGTGGTGTTATATAATGAAATAAAAATGTTTTTTGGAGCTTTTATGTCTGCAAATTTCTGCTGGAAAATCAACTTAAAAAAACCTCAACCTTCCATTAACTATTTTTTTTTTCTTAACTAACTAAATTTAAAAAAATCTTTTCTTATCCCTTTAATTTTTTTCTGGATTTGAACTCCAGTGACCTGTGAGGTGTGTGTATGTACATATATATATATATATATATATATATATATATATATATATATATATATATATATATATATATATATATATATATATACATATATATATATATATATATATATATATATATATATATATGTTTATTTGTTTGTTCTTTGTTTAGAGCCGCAAACGTTATTTATTATTTTTATGAAGACACATGTTTTTTTTTTTAATGATAAATCAGTTGCAACTCTAAACAGCCAGACGTTTATTTGTATTTCTACTTTCTGAAATAGGAAAAAAAAGCAGAAATATTTCTTTAAGATAAATCAGGAATTTCCTTTTATAGGATATTATTTGATGTAAAAAAACAAAAAAACAAACATTGTTCTGCTGGGAAAATTCAATCAAATATTGTATTTTAAAAAAAACTACTAAAGCTTCTACACTGGAAAAAATCCAAATCTAGATAAGTCATTTTTAGAATAAGTGCATGTGTTCTTGGATTGAGGAGGTAAAGGATACATTTTGCCAATGGAACGAGACAATTTACACTTCAAATAAAAACAATTGCATTGTCTTATTTCAAGTACATATTATCTAAATATCTAATTTTAAGAGTAAAATTTGTCATTCCGTTGGCAAACTATCTCATTTACCTGCTCAAATTAAGGGTAAATACACTTAATTTAAGACATTTTTTTTTTTTTTACAAATTATTAGATAGTTTTTGCAGTGTAAGACCAGCATGTTGTACAATACCACATTAGGTGGTTCCTTAAATCATTTTAGGCCACTGACATCATAAATAAATTGCGATCAACCTAATGACCAGCTGTGCTGTACATTAATAATTTACAGCTTAATGCGCAATAGTTTGCTTTCAGCATAAAAACAAAGTTCAACACAGAGAATTTGTCCCTGTTGAGTCGTCTAAGTGATCTGTGGCTAAACATTAAGTGAGATAAATTATTGACTCCATTGAAAACAGTGAGGCTCAAAAGTACAGATGCAGAGTTTAAAATACATCTAATGATGTGGATTATTTGCATCTCCAGGCTCCTCTGGTAAAGAACTCAGATGTGGGATTAGTTCAACAACTCCACACTGGAAAAATTTGAAATCTAGATACAGTCATTTTTTCTTAAAATAAGTGCTTTTGTTCATGGATTGAGGAGATAAAAGACACATTTTGCCAATGGAAGAAGACAATTTACACTTAAAATAAGATTTCAAGTCCATTGTATCTAATTATCTTATTTTAAGAGTAAAAATCCTCATTCCATTGGCAAAATATCTTATTTACCTACTCAAATTAAGGGTAAATACACTTAATCTAAGACATGTTTACTTATTTCTGGATTGTTTTTTCAGTGCTACTGAAGTGAGATGGTTCCATGAGTAGCTTGCAGTGATAACTGCTATCTGAAAACCCAGGATATGCAGGGATTCATCGCAGAATTTGTTCCTTTTTCTCACTCATCCTGCTTTCTGAAATGAGTTCCAGGTGTCCATCTATGTCCAGGATTCTCTCTGTGGACGTTTGAGGACATGGCCGCTCTCACTTCTGCTCTAAAAGCATTTCACACTGGAAAAAATCAAAATCTATGAGTTGATTTTTCTTAAAGTAAGTGCATTTGTTCTTGGATTGAGGAGGTAAAAGATAATTTTGCCAATGGAACAAGATAATTTACACTTAAAATAAGAAAAGATATTTGTATTGTCTTATTTGAAGTGCATATTATCTAATTATCTTATTTTAAAAGTACAAACACCCATTCCATTGGTAAACTATCTCATTTGCCTACTTAATATATATTTGAATTATAAGTAAGCTCATTAGTATTAATTTGGACAAAGTATACTTTATCAATCCTAAAAACATAAATCTAGCCAGCTATGTATTTCAAGTGAATTGAAATTAATGAATATGCATGAATTTAAGGTTTATTTCAAATCTTTGTGTTAAAGTTATCCAAGACACAAGTAAAGTAAATGGAATTTTTTAACGTAGTAAAAATACATCAGCCTTAAAGTTTAGTGGAGAATATTTTAAGTGAGTCAAAGTCTGGATATGAATAGGATTCAGATGCTGTTGCTGGAAAAAACCCCACAAAGCATCTAAATTAAAGCAATCCTGCAAAGGAAAGTGGCTCACAGTTCCTCCACAGTGATGGTAAACACTAAGTACTGCCTATCAGCTGCTGCAACCAGTTATTAGGTTGGGGGGGGGGGGGGGTTACTTTTGAACACAGTCATGATAGTTTGGATAGATTTATATCCGTCATAAAAGAAAAGTAAGTCTTTTATTTTTATTACATGTTCTCTATATTGATGTTGCCATGCTGCAGGGTCCAGGCTGCCTTAAACACTCCAAACATCTAAAACTGCGATCAGACTTTGGATCATATTCATTTTATCTGATCAGGAGCCTCCAATCGGCACAGAGAGCTGGATCCTGACCCCGGATGAGGTTTCAATCAGGCAGATTCTTAAAGGAATCCCTGCTCCGCCTTAACACTTTATAGGGAAAGATGGTGTTTTTGATCTCTCCCTCCGTCCATCAGTGAGGTCTAGAAGCACAAGATCTATATCCAGCTATTCAGCAAAGATCCTGCTACATGGCTGTACATCTTATTTTGGCAATTGACCAATTAGATGAGCCCTTGAATGATATATTACCTCCTGTAAATTAAGTACTGGTAGGAAAAAAGGTAACAAGTCAAGAAAAACAGGTAAAAATCAAATTGAAAAGTTCAAAAGTAAAGTTCAAAAGTCAAAAAGCCTCGTTAACAATTATATTTAGGTTTTTTAAACTAAAAAATGTAAATGCCAGTATCAGCATTAATGCCTCTAAGGTTATGTTGGACCAAAGAAAATGTGTTTCTTTCCCTCTCACAGTGTTTTTCATGAATTGCTTTTAGAATTCGCTTTTCTTGTTTTTACATAGACATAAATTTTTGCCATCAAAATATCCAGATTTTTTTAATTTTACAACAGTAATAAGGTCTTGTCATGGATTCTGATAACACTGTTGGCTGGAAATTTTCATTTCACTGAGGGCCCTACCAAGGGTTAATCTTTCTAGAACCATCAGAAGGATCAGAGATAACCAGTTCAGGTTCTCTCTGAGAAATGTGAAACCCTGTGAGAACACTGTCCGAATGTTCCGATCATATCCGATACGATATGTTCTGCTCAGAGACTAGAAACATGGTACTGGAGCAACAACTGCAGTTCAGCCCAAGATCAAGAGAAAAACTGAAAGTCGGTTCAGGTAAAATCCAGAGTCACTCACCATCAGGATGAAAGGCTGCCTCGATGTCTTTAGCAGGAGCTGGAAGAGACACACAAGAAGAGAGATGAAAACACTCAATCCCGCTGCTTCCTAAAGCTCCTTCCTCATCATCACCACAGCATCTCCAGGTACCTGACTGCCTCCTGGTGCGTCTGTATGGCAGGCTGCCCTCCAGCAGCAGCGGCAGACTCTTCCTGGATTTCTCTGGCGTGTAGAGCAGCAGCTCCGGAGGTTCTGGTGAGACAAAGAAGGACAACCTGAAGGAACGAAATGATATGGTGAAAATTTCCCGTTTCTTTGGTCAGACCTATGAACATGAGATAAGAGGATCAGACCTCGTAACGAGCTGAAAACCTCATGTTAGAACAGCAAAGGTCCAAACGGTTTGGAACCAAACGTTACTGAACATGATGCAGGGATCAAGTGGTGAGAAGAGAAGACCTTCCTCTGACCTGATTGACGCCGTCCTCGATGGAAACCGTGAAGGTCATCCACACGTGGCGAAGCGGACGACTTCTTCAGGTTCTCTTGATCAAACTGAGGAGCTGCAAAACAGGAAGTGATGTCACAATATGTTCTAGCCAACTACCGGGTTTCATTGAGGAATAATAGACGGTCAGACACAAGGCCTGGATTTGGACTAGGTTGGTGTTGGGAACTGAGTTTGTTTATGAAACCAGTTTGACAGGGTCTGCATTTTCGACCACGTTCTACTTGGGACCGGACTTTAATCTAATATGGGGTTTGAGTCAGGAACCAGTGGTGGGTCCAAATGAGGCTGGCAGCTGGGCTTGGTTGGAGGCTAGATGAGAATATCTGACTGGGTTTGCTCAGGGATTGGGTACGGCTTTTAGCCTGATAAACCAGACTAAATGTGAGATTAAATGTGTAATTTAGTCTGGCCCCAATGAATGAGACATCGGAAGATTGTTGATGAGAACAACCAATTGTTTTTCAAACCATGTCTGTGCCTATTGGCCAACGCTCCGGCTGTGACGTAATAAGCGCCACAGAAAGCTGGAGGGGGAGTGTAAACAAAAAGCCTGTCAGTAAAACGGTGAATATGTCCTTCTTAAATATGAATTAGCATAAAGCCTCTTGCTGCTCATGTTTCAATGAAAAGTCTAATCCTTTAAAAACTGATTCCAAAGCTGAGTCAAACGAGATTGCCATGCCCTCAAAACTCCGCTCGCTTTGCATCCAAAAATTCAAAACTCTGCGTTGTGATTGGGCCCCCAGTTCTAGGGCCTGGGGCATTGATTGAGGCTAGACCACAGGCAGGCAAAAATGATTTTGGCTGCTGGTGGGTGGGACTAGTTTACTAGGCTATACGGCTTTAGGATTTGGGTCATGAACCGGTTTTGGCACTTGGATTTGATTGGTAAATTTTTATCAGGTTTGGGCAGGATTCTACTCTGTCGGCTCCACTTAGCCTGCTTTACTTCCTCCCAGCGACTTCAAATCCTTTCACTGCTGCTTCTTTGGCACCCGTACTGGCCCTTTGCACCCCTGCCCAGGAGTAGGTACAATCAGAGATGAGTGGGGCCAGAAAAAAGCCAGCACTGCTACTGGAAAAGCAGTTATGGAAATGTTTGAAAATTGGTGGAGTATAGTAGAACTGGGTGAAGTGGAGCCAGTGGAAAAGACATTTAATTCAACTGAACTTTACTGATCTCACATTAGAAAAATTTACCTCCGCATTTAATCTATCACCCTGGGAGCAGTGTGGGGGTAAGGGTCTTTCTCAGAGATCCATATAGTGGCAGTCTGTGGGAGTGGGGCTCAGACTCAGAAGCTCGGGATTCCAAGCTCTATGCCCTAACCAGTAGGCCGCCACTCCCCAAGGGGCTTTAAATACTTAGAAACCTGTTTTGGTTTGAGAACATATCATGAGTTTGGGACCAGGTTGGTTAAGTTGACCATGTAAAGGTTCAGCTGAAGAGCAGGATCAGGTTGAGGTTGTACTCTTGTGGAAACAGGTGTGTAAACTCACACTGGCGGAGGTTGTCTCCAAGGACCTGCCTCGCCTAGAAAGGAGAACCACAGTGAGTCACTGAACACAAGCAACAAAGTTCAGCAGAGATAAACTTATCAATAAAAAAAACTGATAAGACAAGAGATATGTCATCTGACCTCTCTTTCTGTTTTGTTTTGTAAAATGAATCCAAAGTGCAATGCATCACATTCTTTAGATGCCAGATATACTGAAAGCCTTGATGGAAAACCTAAACCCATACATGCCTTCAGGGGGGTTTCTGAGGCGTTCCTTAAAGCATCAGTGCCTCACAAGCAAACATACAGAGAGGAGTTAAGAGATTAAACAGATGTTGCAGGAAATGAACTCAGGAATCTGTATGATGGATCTCTATAACAGCAGAAATTGTCTAAATTGCCGGGGGGGGGAGATTTTAAATAAATATAATTGTTTATGAAAGTAAAAGGCTTCACAGTGGTGAGCAGCTGGTTTTCAGTTACAACATGTGGAAGAATAGAAAGAAACATGTCAGTGAAGCAATCCTTTTATTTGGAATGGTGTCAGTTTGGAGGCAAATCTCTTTCCAACCTAGACTTTAGTTGCACTATGGCGCCCTCTAGTGTTCAAGCACATTAGTTTATCTAATGCAGCTTCTTTGTTCCTTTGCAATAAAAACAGAATTGTGTTCTTCACACCAGGAATATTTCTTAAGGAAAAAATGCCCTTCTATACTATGCATTGTACTGGGCCATAATGGATTTTGTTATTTTATATGAGAAGATGGCAGCTTTAAAACAAATACACGTTTATTTGTATGGATCCAAACTGATTTAAGAATAAATCATTGATTTATGTTTGCTTAACTGGCTGCAGCAACTTTCTTTCTCTTATGTTAACTTTGTTAAACAGTTGCCTTTTGTGTCTCTGCTTCTGTTTCCTTGAACCCCAGTCGGCCTCAGCAGATGGCCGCTCACACTGAGCCTGGTTCTGCTGGAGGTTTCTTCCTGTTAAAAGGAAGTTTTTCCTCTCCACTGTCGCTACAAGCATCCTCAATGTGAGGGATTGCCTTGGAGTCAATGATTCGATGCAATCAACTGGTTTTCCTTAGATAGAAAACTTTTAATCAATCTGACTAACATGACGTGTTGTGAATTAGCGCTATGTAAATAAACTGAATTGAAAAAACTTTAGGGCTGTTTGCATGAGATCAATTCACCAATATTTAGATGTAAATCACAACTTTACCTTTTTGTTTTTTAATATTTTTTTTTTGAGGCACTAGCAGCTTGTTTTCTTTTTTTTTTTTTTGGACAGTAGGCCAACAGGAAAGGGGGTGTGAGAGAGAGGGAGAGACATGCGGCAAAGGACCAAAGGTCGGATTCAAGCCAGGTTTGACCTCTTGGAGGACTCTGTACATGGGTCGTGCGCGTTAACCGCTGCACCACCTGCACGCCCTTCTATCGGTGCTTTTAACAGAATGGCTTACTAACCTACAAACATGGGTTACAATAATGGTACAACTACATCTACATTAAGAAAACAAACACTGAAGTAATGGAAAAGAAAAATAAAGCTTACAAAAACTAACAAAAAACTAACATAATATGTATACACTAGAAAAATTATCTAGAAAATAAAAAATAAAATATCTTAAATTAAGTGTATTTACCCTTAATTTGAGTAGGTAAATGAGATAGTTTGCCAATGGAATGAGTATTTTTACTCTTAAAATAAGATAATTAGATAATATGTACCTGAAATAAGACAATGAAATTGTTTGTTTTTTTTATTTTAAGTGTAACTTATCTTTTTCCTTTGGCAAAATGTCTCTTTTACCTCCTTATTTTAAGAAAAAATTACTTTTCTAGATTTCGATTTTTTTTCCAGTGTATACACATACACTGGAAAACGATCTAGAAATAACAAAAAAATGTCTTAAATTAAGTGTATTTACCCTTCATTTGAGTAGGTAATTGACATGGTTTGCCAATATAATGAGTATTTTTACTCTTAAAATAAGAAAATTAGATAATATGCACTTTAAATAAGACAATGCAATTTGAGTTTTCTTATTTTAAGTGTAAATTGTCTTGTTCCTTTGGCAAGATGTCTCTTTTACCTCCTCAATCCAAGAACAAATACACTAATTTTAAGAAAAAATGAATTATCTAGATTTCTATTTTTTTCCAGTGTACATAGCCACAAGTATAGCAAGCACCTGCAGCCTTCCACCACACTGCAAAAACAATCTAGAAATTAGTAAAAAATGTCTAAAATTAAGTGTATTTACCCTTAATTTCAGTAGGTAAATAAGACCATTTGCCAATGGAATGAGTATATTTACTCCTAAAGTAAGATAATTAGACATTATGCACTTAAAATAGGACACTGCAATAGTTTTTTTCTTGTTTTAAATATAAATGATCTTGTTCTATTGGCAAAGTGTCTCACTTACCTGCTCAATTCAAGCAAAAAAACCCTTATTTTAAGCAAAAATTACTTAATTAGATTTAAAAAATTTTGCAGTGCACTACCTCACACTCCACATACCATATCTTAGTGTAGAACAGATAATAAACATTTCCATCTGTTTATTGTTTTTAACCTTTTCCCTCTTCTTCTCCATTTTTTATGATTTTCATGCCAGGGCCCCATTTTTCTGTGAATATCACCTCCTGATTTTTCAGCCTGAAAATCAGCTGTTCGTAAATGGCTATTTCTATGTATTTCTTCCAGCTGTTCATTAAATTAGAGCTGCATCTATCAGTTATTGATTAATGTGTTCATTGTGTTTTTTGATTGATTAATGAATCGAAAAAATAAATACTATTAATACTTAAAAGCAAAGATTTAGAAAAAAAAACAAAAAACTTCATTGTGCATTTTAAATGACCCACACCATTGCATCACCACCACAAGCCTGACCCTACCATCCAAGTGTTGCAGCAGAAATCGAGACTCATCAGGTCAGGCAATCATTTTTTAATCTTCTAATGTCTAATTGTGGGGAGCCTGTGTGAATTAAAGCCTTAGTTTCCTGTTCTTAGCTGACAGCAGTGAGTGGTCGTCTGCTGCTCTGGTCCATCTGCCTCAAGGTTTCCATGGTTTGTGCATTCAGAGATGCTCTTCTGCATACCTCAGTCAAAATTGTGGTTATTTGAGATACTGCTGCCATTTATCCACTCCAAGCAGTTTTGCCATTCTGCTCTGACCATAAATAAGGCATTTGCACCAACAGAACTGGATATTTTCTATTTTTCGGCCCAATCTCTGTAAACCCAAGATATGATTTTGGGTAAAAATGCCAGCTGATCAGCAATTTCTGAAATACTCCAACCAGCCATGTTGTCACTTAACTGACCTTTCTTCTCCATTCTGATGCTCGGTTTTAACTAAAAGAGATTGTCTTCACCATGTCTACATGTGATTGGCTTATTAGAAATTTGTGTTAAAGATCAGTTGGACAGTTGGACTGTTGTTCTCTCTCCAACTCCAGGAACAGTTTACTGCTAAGTCTGATTTCCTGTCAGTGCATTGGAGGAGCTGCAGCCCTTGCTGCTCGCTGAAAACGGTTAACTTTTGATTCATGATTCATGACAGCAGACAAGCTAGAGGAAAGCAGGAGGCGGGGTTACCAATCTACTTGCTCTGGAAAGCAGAGTTGGGTGCCTTTATATGTTGTCGCCAAAGTCTCAAGTAGCAGAAGAAAGTCATTAGATTTGGCGCTAGGTGCTGTCTTGAAATGAAAGTGTTAGAGGGGCCTTAAAAGTCGCTATTTAAGCTGCCAACACAGCTATTCCTTCTGTTTGTTTTGAAATGGTTTGCTTTCTGAACATGTTCAGCAAAAGGAGTGCTGCAGTGAGACACACTTGTATAAGCGTTCTGAAGGCATTTTAGCGAAATTATTTTTATCAAAAACATAATTAATGTGCACAAATAAGAAATAGTTATATTAACCATACATGGGAACAGAGTTTTATTGGGCCCCCAGGAATTTGGGGACCTAGGTAACTGCCTAGTATTGCCTAATGGTAAATCTCCGCCTGACAAGTGTTGATAGCAAAAGCAGGAATTGCCATCCACTGAGCAGAGAATATATTAATTGAATGTAGCACATCAAATAAAATGTGTCTTCATACAAATAAAAATCATATTCATTCAAATTTATCTGTCTACCAAAATACTTAATTTTAGGTCATAATAAACTTTAACCATATGCTTAAAAGTTCTGTTTTGTTCATATTTCATTCCATTTTCTCATTAGTCAGTGTGCGAGAGGGGAGGTATTTCTCACCATATCAGCCTATTCCATTTCTAAAGTTAGAGTCATGATACTGATATTTTTATTATATTATTATTATTATTATTATATTACTTTATTATTTTTAAAAACGTCGGTATCACCTCAAAAGAAACATTTTAAAGACAGATTTTATATTATCCTGAAATGCTGTTGCCCCAAAGTCGGATTTTTGGAGACACTATATTAAAGCGGGACATCTATAATTGGAAGTGGGGCACTCTGTTTTTTTCAACAAAAACACAGCAACAAATTAGCAAAAAAAAGTACTTATAACTTCGTCAAAGTCTTAAGTAAAAAGATGAAATTACACGTGATTTTGCAAATAAATATATATATATATATATATATATATATATATATATATATATATATATATATATATATATATATATATATATATATATATATATATATATATATATATATATATATATATACCCACCAATCATCCCATTTGGATCCATTTAGAGCTCTGCAATGTATGTAATTGACCAGCAGGTGGCAGTAAAACATCAAGATAATATTCCTATGTTTCTCCATACAGTGCTGTTATCATTCACATAATTTGTCATTCTGATTTTAAAGTGGATTGTTTGCTTTTAATCAGCTCCAGTCACACCAGAAAAATACATTCATACTTTTATTTTTTCATGGTATTTCTCATTTTAAAGGGGATTCTTTAACAAAAAAAAAAATCGAAAATGTGTATTAGCTCCTCCATTCAAGTTGCCACTACTGGACATGTAGGGCATGCCGTAATAAGATATAATTAAATCACACGTCACTCCCTAATGACATATTCCATGATGACACAACCAGTTCAAAATGATTTTGATAGAAATGAACACAAAAAATATTTAGGAAATAACTTTAAATAAAATTATGAAATTGAACGTAACATCTAAACATTTTGACTTCACATATGAGAAACAAGTCATGTTCTGTACCGAGTTCCTGAAATGTTTAGAGAAATTAAATCCTGGAAAGCTTAAGCTCTGCCTGCTAAGACCACAACAGTTTCACTGGTTTTACATTATGAAACCTGCCAAAGGAAGTACAGGACTTTATGTGTTACTGAACTTTGCATGTTCTTCATCCACATCAAGAGAAGTGGTTGAGCTTTCAGGTCCAACAAACCTCTTTTGACTTTATTTCCCTCACAGATCTCCTTACCTTCTGTGGAAGTGAAGCTGGATGGTTTTCAACAATCAGCCTCTTGAGGTAGTGGACCCACAGCCGCTTCTCCTCCTGGTTCTTCGTCTGCAGGAAAGGCATACAAGCATGAAAGGAGATCTGGTTTCAAAGCTGAATAAGATACTGAGGGAACTTGCACACGCACTTGAACGATGTGCTGCTGCTTGGGAATTGTCTGGTCCGACACTTTGAAGCAGAGTGGGTCTTTCAGGGTTTCCACGAGCTGCAGGTTACAACACTGCAAAGGACAAATGGACAAAAACAATATACTCTAAAGGTTTGGAGCCTCCATAAATATGCTGCAGCATTTTCTGAGGATATTATGCAGAACTCTCAAGCTTCCTATGAATCAGACTCAGAGGAGCAAAGTCTTAGATCAGTATGACATCATCAATACAAATTACGACCTTAGATCTGGTCCTTCTTACAAAGATATGAGTGCTGTAGATGAACTGCTCCAGCCTTTTCTTGGCAATCAGCAGCATCTTGTCGAACAGGAAGAACGCTCTCTCCTTTTTCACTCTGAGGACCTTGAAGGAACCCTCCAGAACCAGCTCTCCGAAGCCGCTGAGGTCCGGCCCGCTCCAGTTCACCAGCAAGGATTCGATTTCCTGCAAGGAAGGCAAGGACAAGTCAAAGGTCAAAGTCTGCAGTGGAACCACAAGCATATTTGACTGAACATATGGCTGTAAATAAAAACACGGCAATAATGTAGTCATCCAGCTGTTCATAAGGACGTGGCATTAACATGTGAACATCCAGCTGTTGATAAGGACGTGGCATTAACATGTGAACATCCAGCTGTTGATAAGGACGTGGCATTAACATGTGAACATCCAGGTGTTGATAAGGACGTGGCATTAACATGTGAACATCCAGCTGTTGATAAGGACGTGGCATTAACATGTGAACATCCAGGTGTTGATAAGGACGTGGCATTAACATGTGAACATCCAGCTGTTGATAAGGACGTGGCATTAACATGTAAACATCCAGCTGTTGATAAGGACGTGGCGTTAACTAGTGAACATCCAGCTGTTGATAAGGACATGGCATTAACATGTGAACATCCAGCTGTTGATAAGGATGTGGCATTAACATGTGAACATCCAGCTCTTGATAAGGACGTGCCGTTAACATGTGAACATCCAGCTCTTGATAAGGACGTGGCGTTAACATGTGAACATCCAGCTGTTGATAAGGCCTTCGCATTAACATGTGAACATCCAGCTGTTGCTAAGGACGCGGCATTAACATGTGAACATCCAGCTGTTGATAAGGACGTGGCATTAACATGTGAACATCCAGCTGTTGATAAGGACGTGGCATTAACATGTGAACATCCAGCTGTTGATAAGGACGTGGCATTAACATGTGAACATCCAGCTGTTGATAAGGACGTGGCATTAACATGTGAACATCCAGCTGTTGATAAGGATGTGGCATTAACATGTGAACATCCAGCTCTTAATAAGGACGTGGCGTTAACATGTGAACATCCAGCTGTTGATAAGGATGTGGCATTAACATGTGAACATCCAGCTCTTGATAAGGACGTGGCGTTAACATGTGAACATCCAGCTGTTGATAAGGCCTTCGCATTAACATGTGAACATCCAGCTGTTGCTAAGGACATGGCATTAACATGTGAACATCCAGCTGTTGATAAGGACATGGCATTAACATGTGAACACCCAGCTTTTGATAAGGACGTGGCATTAACATGTGAAAATCCAGCTGTTGATAAGGACGTGGCGTTAACATGTGAACACCCTGCTGTTGATAAGGACGTGGCATTACCATGTGAACATCCAGCTGTTGATAAGGACGTGGCATTAACATGTGAACATCCAGCTGTTGATAAGGACGTGGCGTTAACATGTGAATATCCAGCTGTTGATAAGGACGTGGCATTTACATGTTAAAACCCAGCTGTTGATAAGGACGTTGCATTACCATGTGAACATCCAGCTGTTGATAAGGACGTGGCATTAACATGTGAACATCCAGCTGTTGATAAGGATGAGGCATTAACATGTGAACATCCAGCTGTTGATAAGGATGAGGCATTTACATGTTAAAACCCAGCTGTTGATAAGGACGTGGCATTACCATGTGAACATCCAGCTGTTGATAAGGACGTGGCATTAACATGTGAACATCCAGCTGTTGATAAGGACATGGCATTAACATGTGAACATCCAGCTGTTGATAAGGATGTGGCATTACATGTTAAAACCCAGCTGTTGATAAGGACATGGCATTAACATGTGAACATCCAGCTGTTGATAAGGACGTGGCATTAACATGTGAACATCCAGCTGTTGATAAGGACGTGGCATTTACATGTTAAAACCCAGCTGTTGATAAGGATGTGGCATTAACATGTGAACACCCAGGTGTTGATAAGGACGTGGCATTAACATGTGAACATTCAGCTGTTGATAAGGACGTGGCATTAACATGTGAACATCCAGCTGTTGATAAGGACGTGGCATTAACATGTGAACACCCAGCTTTTGATAAGGACGTGGCATTAACATGTGAACATCCAGCTGTTGATAAGGATGTGGCATTAACATGTGAACATCCAGCTGTTGATAAGGACGTGGCATTAACATGTGAACACCTAGCTGTTGATAAGGACGTGGCATTATCATGTGAACATCCAGCTGTTGATAAGGACGTGGCATTAACATGTGAACATCCAGCTGTTGATAAGGATGAGGCATTAACATGTGAACATCCAGCTGTTGATAAGGACGTGGCATTAACATGTGAACATCCAGCTGTTGATAAGGATGTGGCATTAACATGTGAACATCCAGCTGTTGATAAGGACGTGGCATTATCATGTGAACATCCAGCTGTTGATAAGGACGTGGCATTACCATGTGAACATCCAGCTGTTGATAAGGACGTGGCATTAACATGTGAACATCCAGCTGTTGATAAGGACGTGGCGTTAACATGTGAATATCCAGCTGTTGATAAGGACGTGGCATTTACATGTTAAAACCGAGCTGTTGATAAGGACATGGCATTAACATGTGAACACCCAGCTGTTGATAAGGATTTGGTATTAACATGTGAACATCCAGCTGTTGATAAGGATGTGGCATTAACATGTGAACATTCAGCTGTTGATAAGGACATGGCCATTAAAAATAAAATCAATAGATAACTAAACCGTTAAAAATAGAAAGCTTGCTCCTTGGTTTAATGCAGAGCTGCGTACTTTGAAGCAAAATGCTAGGAAACTGGAGAGAAAATATCGCTCCACAGGCCTGCGAGAGTCCTTCCTAGTCTGGAAAAATGGTTTACTGCTGTATAAGAGGACCCTTTGTAAAGCAAGAGCAGCATACTTCTCCTCATTAATAGAGGAGAATAAGAATAATCCTAGATTTCTTTTTAATACAGTTGCCAAACTCACCCAGAGCCATAGCTCTGTTGAACCGTCCATTCCACCTGCTCTTAGCAGCAATGATTTTATGGGATTCTTTATAAATAAGATTGATCTTATTAAAAATAAGATCATAAGCACTCCTCTATCCGCGATTGTACCTGAGGTAGTCATGGAATCTGAACCGGGTTTAGACTGCTTTGATCCAGTTGAACTCTCTGAATTAGCAAAATTATTGTCTTCATCTAAGCCTTCAACTTGTATGTTAGATCCAGTTCCAACCAGGTTATTTAAGGAGGTATTCCCTTTGATCTCCTCCTCCATTTTAGATGTGATTAATCTATCTCTGTTACAGGGATATGTACCTAAAGCTTTTAAGATTGCTGTAATTAAACCTCTGCTTAAGAAACCGTCTCTTGACCCAGATGACTTGGTCAATTATAGACCTATATCCAATCTTCCTTTCTTATCCCAAATTCTTGAGAAAGTAGTTGCCAAACAAGTTTGCGATCACTTCCACCATAATGAACTTTTTGAAGAGTTTCAGTCTGGCTTTAGAGCTCATCATAGCACTGAAACAGCTCTGGTGAAAGTCACTAATGATATTCTCATGGCCTCAGATAATGGACTTGTATCTGTGCTCGTCCTGTTGGATCTTAGTGCTGCATTTGATACAGTTGACCATAATATTCTTTTAGAAAGACTTGAATATTTTGTTGGAATTAAAGGAACAGCACTAGACTGGTTTAAATCTTATCTATCTGATCGAATTCAGTTTGTTCATGTTAATGATAGATCTTCAACACGCTCAAAGGTTACCTGTGGAGTACCACAGGGATCAGTGCTAGGACCAATTCTCTTTACTTTATACATGCTCCCAATTGGTAGAATTATTAGACAGCATGGGATTAATTTCCACTGTTACGCTGATGATACCCAGCTATATCTGTCTATAAATCCAGATGAAGCTAACCCATTACATAGATTACAGGCATGTCTTGAAGACATAAAAACCTGGATGACTCTTAATTTTCTGCTTCTGAATGCAGACAAAACAGAAGTTATAGTCTTTGGACCAGAGTCTCTGAAAAAGAAACTGATTAGCCAGTCACTTCATTTGGATGGGATTAAACTGATTTCAGATAATAAAGTAAAAAATCTTGGTGTTATTTTTGATCAGGACCTGTCATTTAAATCCCATATCAAAGAGGTTTCTAGAATTTCCTTCTTTCATCTGAGGAACATTGCAAAAATTAGAAATATCCTGTCCAGGGGTGATGCTGAGAAACTAGTCCATGCATTTGTTACTTCAAGGCTGGACTATTGTAATTCTTTACTATCAGGAAGTCCACAAACTGTAGTTAAAAGCCTTCAGCTGATCCAAAATGCTGCAGCCAGAGTTCTAATGAAAATGAAAAAGAGAGATCATATCTCTCCTATCCTGGCTTCTCTTCATTGGCTTCCTGTTAAATCAAGAATAGAATTTAAAATCCTCCTTCTCACATATAAAGCCTTAAATGGCCAAGCTCCATCTTATATCAGAGATCTGATTGTTCCTTATGTTCCTAACAGAGCACTTCGCTCTCAATCTGCAGGTTTACTAGTGGTTCCTAGAATTTCTAAAAGTAGAATGGGAGGCAGATCTTTTAGTTATCAGGCTCCTCTCCTGTGGAACCAACTACCAGTTTTAGTCCGTGAGGCAGACACCCTGTCTACTTTTAAGTCTAGGCTTAAAACTTTCATTTTTGATAAAGCTTATAGTTAGGGTGGCTCAGGTTATCCTGAGCTATCTCTATAGTTATGCTGCTATAGGCTTAGACTTTTGGAGGACATAGGGACCCCCATTTCATCATTCTGCTTCATTCTCTCTCTGTTCTCCTATTCTGCAGAATCTGTTAGTTCAATCTCTAACCTTCTGCTCTCTCTGCTTTTCCTCAGAGTAGCTTTGCCTCGTCTGTTCCTGTTTGGCTGTGACGTCATCCTGGAAAAAAACATCAGCTGTGCTGCTTCTATCAACACCCTTGTTAATAGATGTTGGAGATCGGCCTGTTTTCCAGTGTGGTCCTGTTTCTCTGACCGTGACTGAGTGGATGTGCTCTCTTCGTCCTCTGGCATGGGAGCTGCCTTGGAGCTCGTCTGCCTGGCTGTGTGTTTCCTGGACGGGGCCGCCTTTTACAGCTGCTTTTTGTATCTCTGCTTCTGTCTCCTTGAACCCCAGTCGGCCTCGGCAGATGGCCGCTCACACTGAGCCTGGTTCTGCTGGAGGTTTCTTCCTGTTAAAAGGGAGTTTTTCCTCTCCACTGTCGCTACAAGCATGCTTAGTGTGGGGGATTGTATTTGAGTCAATGAGTCAATGCAATCAACTGGTTTTCCTTAGATAGAAAACTTTGTATCAATTTGACTGTATGATCTGGTTGAACTGTAAAGTGCCTTGAGATGACATGTGTTGTGAATTTGGCGCTATATAAATAAACTGAATTGAATTGAATTGAACCTTATTATTCTCACACTGGAGAAATTTACCTCTGCATTTAACCCATCCCCTCGGGGAGGAGTGGGCTGCCATTGTGCAGCACCCAGGGAGCCTTGTGGCTTTAAAGGTCTTGCTCAGAGAGCCAGAGTGGCGGTCAGTGGGGAAGGAACCAGGTACTTGCAAGTTTCTCAGAGCACAGGCACACTGCTCTGACCTTTAGGCCAACACTCTTCTGAACACCAAGCTGAAGACAATGATGTAGCAGTAAGATGAACCTCCAGTAGAGGGACACTCCTCAGACTTGATAAAGCGTTGGTCTGCTCTTTAGGTGGTGATCTTAGAATCCGCTCAGCAGATTTTGCTGCTTGCTGCTATAGTTCTCCTACAGCTGCAGCTTGTTACGGACCCAGCTGGTGAACTTGGCCCCCAGGTTTTCTCCCATGCAGTATAAATACACTGAACGCTAAAACCAGAGAATGGAGGCTTTGATGTAATTGACAGCTGACTTATCAGCACCTTACAGTACTCAAACTCTAAAACAGCGGTGGGATCTGATTCCAGAGCTGGAAAGGTTTGAATTTCATCAGCTGGCATTGGTCACAGATCTGAAGTTGAAGATGATTCCTTCCAGGCTAAAATGTTTCGCTATCAAAGGTGTGATGAGATTCATGGCGATATATTTGTAAAAGTCCAGAGAGCAGGTGACCTCTGATCGAAACAAGACCTAACAACCCTGAAAACATATTCCAGAGATTGTTTCAACAAGGCTGTGGTCAGAGAATCAGCGTTGAGGTTTGTCAGAGGAGACAAAAGGAGTGAAAATATATGAAAATAGAACATAAAGGCAAAAATGAAGCAGTCGGGTGTCTGTCCAACAACATGTTGGACAGGAGACATCTTCTTTTGGACAGCATTTATAAAACGTTATTAACAATTTCAACCCGTAACAGGCTTCAGGCCTGATCACTGTATTCTGACACTTTCATTTTATCGCCTTAACACAACATATAAAAAAAAAAGTATTATGGGGTTTATGTAGTGAATCTTGTAATTTCCTCACCCTGTCCGACCACTAACCTCCATGGATTGGATCCCTAGTAGCACTGCTGACAATTATAAAGTGGGACCAAACATTTAAAGCTCTTAACATTTGAGCTCATAACAGTGTATCTGCTCTAATCTGAAGAGCGCCATGAAAACTAAAGGAGCTGGTGATGATCGATGTTTTTCAGCTAGAGCAACGATGAGGCTGCTCAGAAATGATAGGAAGAAGAATGGAGGGCTAAATCAAGGAACATCCTGGAAAGTTCCAATCTGATGACCTAAAACTGTGGAAGTTCAAATTTACGCAGGACAGAAAAGGATTCAGTTGGTGGATGTTCAAAGCCTTGACAACTAAACACAGGAGATGGCGCCTCAAACACATCACCACATGGAGCTTTCACAGTACAAAACCATGGAGAGGTCCAAGTGGTGCGAATCCTTTAGAAACGGAGCAAAGAGTAACTCTGACGGAAGCTGGGAGACACAATGGCTGGAACTGGATTTATATGTGATTCACTCAGAGGAAGTAAAAACAGGTGCAAGCCACACTTTTCAGATTCTTACTGCAAATGCTCAAACTTATCAGTCATCCATCCATCCATCCATCCATCCATCCATCCATCCATCCATCCATCCATCCATCCATCCATCCATCCATCCATCCATCCATCCACTGGTTTACCTGCAGCCTCACTGCGTGCTCCTGCTTCCTCTTCATGTCGTTTATGTACCAGGCCACCGCCGTCATGGTGATGATGGCGTCCTCCACCACCTCATATCCAGGGTCGTTCTTATCCACATGCTTGGAAAGTTCCTGTAACAACAACAACATGACAGAGAGATGAGAAACCTGTAGTAGGAGGAGCTCTGTGCCTTCATGGCTGCTGTTGTGTTTTTAGAAATAATCAGTTTTGATTTCTGCACAGATTTTACCTTCTACCTTGGATACCCTGGAAAAAAGATAATCTCTGGATTATAGCAACAAATAAAATGTCTCCTTTAATGACTGCATACTGTTTTTGATTAACTTTCAGGTTCTTACATAATTTTATTTACCAGAAAGTTTGAACCTAATAATCAAACCTCTAAAATGACCAGATTTGGATAAACGGTTCAGAAGGACGTTTGTATCAAACCACCTGTTGCAGGATCTCTGTTTATGCTCAACACCTGTCTTCATTTATTAAAATAAAGACCGCCGGTACTGATTAAACAGAAGAAGACAGGATAGAAACGTCTCACAGGCGTCGGTGTTAGACGCAGCTGATGGTTCAGGGATTCTCCCAGACTGGATCCAGATCCAAACAGATGTGGGAGCCATGTTTAAACTGGCCGCCGCGCTGCCGAGGCTCAGCAGCAGCAGCAGAGGTGGATCACACAGAACAAACATCCAGGAACAAAGAGCAGGATTTCTCTCTGTTTCATCATCCCTCGCTCTGCTCAGAGGTGGGCTTGGATCAGAACCAGTCAGGATGGTTTACTGGGAAAGGCTGCATGTGTGAGTGTCTGTGCTGGTGTTTGAGATCAGGCGGATGCTGTGAGGTGGCCTTCAATGCTGTTGCACAGATGGGTTTTAAGACAAATAGATGTAAATGCTTAACTGGAACTGCTGGATTAATTTTATCTTCACTAACCTTTAAGACATTCTTTAACTGAAATAATCACTTTTAATATTAGATTTAATTAATAATTATTCAACACATATGTCAAAAGTAACTCTGGTGGGACTCGAACCCACAACCTTTGAATGTCCTCAACATCATTGATCTAGAAGTCCAATGCGCTGTCCATTGCACCACTGAGCCTTACAGCTACCTAAAGGAATCACAGTAGGTTACGAGGTGATCTAAAAATCTTTCTTCAAAAGGCACGAAACAAACAAGCTTTAAATGATAACATCAGTGAGGTTTAATTCACGGCTTTTTGAACCTTAGAGCCAAGAAGTGAGATCCCACACTAAGGTTCAGCCTGGAGTTATTAATCTAAGCATCTTGGCTCGCATCACAACAAATCCTGACTAAAAGTAGATGATAGTGACGTCGTTTGGGGGGGGAAAAAAAGATTTTTTGAAATTGAAGCATAAACTGGAGTAAATGAGCTGAGAAAGTTCTGGAAAAATCCTTTCATTATTCAGAGAAAACAAAAATAAACCTATTATCCCTGTTAGAGGGGATTATTGAGTTAAAGTGGCCGTTTAAAGTTTCACCTCTAGTAACGTGGATTTATGGAGGATAAATGAGAAGTAGGAAAAATATGAAATGATCAAGAAGAAAAAGTAGAAAATGTACAAACAATATTATGTGTAGAGGATACAATAAAACAATTTAAATTTATCCACACTTTATGCAAGATAAAGAACAATAATAAAATAAGTGTTTTTGTATTTTTGAATATGTCAGCATGCGTAACCTAAACTATCTAGAAACATCGATGCTGGAGGATAAAAGCAGAGAAAGAGAAACATTAATGTGTCTCAGAGAGTCTGCCTCCAAACGATCCTCTGGACCAACTTACTGACTGATGCTGCAGCTCTGATGTTCAGCCTTCCTGCTGATTGGAAGCTGCAGCAGAGAAGCTGTTTAAGGTGTGCGGCTGAGCTGCTGTTCACTAGTGATGGATCCACCAACATGGATGCATCGGCACATTCATCAAGCTCATAGAGGGACCGATACAGGAGCTGACGGAAGCTCTTAACGGTGTTTATAAATGTATCTGTCAACTGATGCATTTGCCAAAAAAATCTCTAATCAGCTTTTATCATATTCATCAAGAAATATTAAGAAAAAGAAAGGTTTTAGGGGTGTGCGACCATTTTGATCTCATATTTGTTTTAATTTTCTCGTGTCAACCTGTTTCTCTCAGTTATCATTTAAAGGGTCATAGAATGATTCTATAGGGTATTTGGTGCTGGTCCTTAAGGTCTCTGAATAGGGCTGAAAATGGCATATTTGCTGTTCTATGAGCCCTAATGCAGCCTGGTTATAAGCCCTAGAATGAAACGACAGGTTTTCTTCCTTTTATGGTATGCTTATCAATATTTAGATGAGCTGTGAGCTGATTGGTTGGTTTACAACGAGCGAAACTGCTGAGCAAAGACGCACCATAGCAACAAGCACTCACTCACTGAAACATTGAAATTGTTGATATGGTAGGTGACCAAACGTCCTCTTTTTCCGGACATGTCCTACTTTTTATACCTAAAACAATGTCCCTGTTCTTCCCCCTGCCTGCATTACCGACCCCCAGCCTCCCTCCTCCGGCTGAGGACTGGCGGCTCATGGCTCTCTGCTGCAGTCTGCCGCACAGCAGTCGACACTTCATGGGTCTAAGTTCTTTAACTGTTTTGTAAATTGTAAGAAAAACTACCAAGATAATAAGTTACCAAATAATCATACACAGTGTAGTTTGCATGAGATTTGATTGAACTGGTTCCTGTTTTAGCGTCAGTAATCCAGTAATAGCTTATTAGTTCCCCATTGTTTATTTTGCTTGAGCTTTATAGAATAACTAATAAACACAGTTGTGAAATTCTTAGTTTACAGTATATTTAAGATGCAAGTATTTTAGTAGTGTGAGAATTTTTCCTCATAACTACAGATCATTTGTTGTTATTCATTAAAATTTATTGTGCTATAAAATTCCACATTTTGCCACTTTGTTTCAGTTAAATCAACTGAAAACTTCCAACATAGAGCTGCACCCATCCTTACAGCATTTCAGTCGAACCCTGATAAGGGATGTATGTAGTGTTGCGCTGATGCCATTTTTTGGCCCCGATACTCGATACCTGGCTGTGCAGTATATATATAGCCAATACCGATACCATCTGTTTGAAATTGATGTGTGTGTATATATATGAAGAGCTGCATACTACTTGGATGTAAAATAATTGCCATCATGGCTTTGTCAAGCTGCTGCCTACCTTAGTGAAGCAGGAAAAATACTAATACAAAGTGAATCCAGAAGAACTTTTTTTTGCCTACCTGGAATAGGTGACAATAGCTGAATAAACTTTTGGCTCTCAAAATCAGTGCCCTATTTGTTGGTACTCGCCGATACAAGTACCACCATTTTAGTGCTGGATCGGGGCCCCGCCTGATACTGGTATCAGTCCAACACTAGTTGCCTGTCCAAACTATTTCAAAATCTCACTCCAAGTTTGGGTGAAAAGTTGGCAGCCCTGTGTTTATATTAAGAAAGAGAAGCTTAGATAAAATATGGTTTATAGCTAAAAACAGACTATTGCAATCAGTACAGGGAAGGAACACCATGAGCGTATAGAGAAGGGGCAGGCGCTTAAACATTTAAAACACATGCAGAGAGTTGTTTATGTTTAATTTAAATTAAAGTGCTAAGATGACCATTAATTGTGCGTTTGCCTTTTTGGTTGACCTCTGACCTCATAGACTCTGAGCTCAGTTGTGTGCTTTGTATGGACATGTCCAGCGGGATGAAGTAGCCAGCCCTAACCTTAACTACCAGCCCTCATTTCAGCACATCGTCCGTCTTACCTGTAGCAGCAGGTGGTATTTGAGGATCCTCTGCACCGGCTTGAGAAGATACGTTTCCAGGGGTAACGAGTGATTCAGGGTCGCCTGTCTCTCCTGGAAGAAACGCACCAAACTGCCGTTCTTCATGCACTCCCTCAGGACTGCCACTGAACTGTAGGGGAGGGGGACACCGATGGAGACATTACAGCCTACCCAACAGGGCATCAGACAGGAGAGTTTAAGGCTTAAAGATTCAATGTGAAGGCTGGAGAGTTTAGTAAGAAACTGGGATGGAGCAGAAGAGAATGAAGGAGGGAAAACAGCAGATAGAAGCTATGAAGGGAAGATGGAGGCAGCTCACAGCTGTTTAACAAATATATTTGCTCAATTATGCAATAGTTAGAAATGCTAAGCAGATTTAAGTCAACTCCAGACATTGGTAGAACCATTCTGGATCCTTTTCAACAACATTCATCACAGCAACATCAATGAAAACATGCAATAAAGACGACAAAAAGAGGAGTCCTGAGATGTCTGCAAAAATATCCATGGCAACAGGAAACCTTGGACACCAGTGGAGAGACAGGAAGAAGGCAGCAGGCAGGGAAGGGGCGAAGGATGTGGGGAAGGAGGTCAGGGTACCGATGGGAATAGGGAGCCATGGTTGTTTTCCTCCACGTAGACGTTAATCAAAGAAGGAACATGAGGGATTCTGAGCTGCTTTAATATCTTTTACAGGCATCAGGAGATCAGCAGAGAGGCTGCAGCTCTTCAGCAAATGTAAACTTTCATTCATCCACAGTTTCATCAAATGAACTAATGAGAAGAAAATCTATTAAGAGGAAATAACAATAAAATTGAATCCTACAAGATAGAAAAGTTTGTCTTTAAACAGAAAAATGATCTGTGTTTAATAAGAACTAACTTAGAAAATGCAGAAACTTCCTTGGATTAGAGGAAATAATCATCTTTGAGAAAAGGAATCCTGATGCTTCCCCCTTATTTATAGAAATAAATCTATAACAGTTACCAAATCTGAGCTGCTCCACCGGACCAGGTTGAAACGCAGGGATCCACAGCTCGGTTTACTAAGTGTTTCAGATACATTCCTGCTTCCAAGACACCAAACAGAGGAATTATCTCTCTCTGTTTTTCTCTCCATGTTCTTTAGGAGCCTTTAATGAAAAAGCAGGAGGACTGGAACCGTTAACATCTGCTCTGTTCAATCATTTTATACAACTTTACATTCTACTAGATGTGATCTATTCTTTATCTGTATTAACTTCATTTCAATCAAAACCCAAAGAATCAAATTAAAATACTCTAAGTAATTAGTTGTAGTTACTAGTTACGAGTTAATAACTGCAACTTCAAAGTACCATTTTAAAATCAGATTAGCCAAAAAAGCCAAAAAATTTGGTTGAATTTTACCAACTTGTTTGATAGTTATGTGTCCATCCAATCCTTTGGTTGAAGCAACTAATCTAATTTGGTTCTTTTTTTAACCAAGGCTTATTGGTAAAACGGTAAATCAATACAAATTGGTCACTTTGACCAAAATGCTGATAAGTAGTAGAGCAACTTTGACAGCCAAGGTTTGAACCAACAACCTTCCACTTAAAGGGCAAACTCCTAAGTCCAACCAGAGGTACTCGTAGACTTTAGGCCAATTTATGCTTCTGACGCATAGCCTCTGCAGCTGTCAAATCTGTCTCTGTGCGTGACCACGCCCCCCCGCGCAGAGGTTCTACAACCGCCGTCGTGCACCTCAAAAAAATCCTGACTACGCGCCGGACGGTCGCAAACCCGCACAGACCTCAAGTGGACAGAGCTACCACTGCAAATAAAAACAGTTTATTTTCTTTTGAATTTAGATTGTTAAAGGAACATCTAAACTCTAGATTTTGGATTAGTTAAACATTACACTATTACATTTAAGTTTAATAAATGTACAAAGTTGTTTTGAATTGGGAAGTGTTTCAGTTCAGTTTGCAGTTATTATTTCCTTATTGATTGGTTTGCATGTTGATGTTTGCAGATTCTTTGAGTGCAATGATTGTAGAGTCATTTGGGCCCAAAGTTTCATCATGATGAGGTTCAGTGAACCAGAACGACAAGCTTTATGTTCTGGAAACAGTTACAGCTCAGACGATCAGGGACCAACCAAAGCTTTAACATCCTAACTCTCTAACCTCTGGAAGCAGTGAAGTTGGTTTCACTGTTTAGGAATGAGCAGGAAAAAGCCCAAATGTTCACAGTCGACCAAAGTTTGGAGCAGAACCAGCAGAAAATGGTCCGCAGGCTCCCAGAGATGGAGCTGTAATCCGTCATTTGACAGAAACGCACTTGAGCCGCACATAAACAGTCATCTCTGCAAGACGAACGCGAAGCATATGTCTTCCTGAAAAACGTTCACCAGAGATGGTCTGAAAAACTCCTCTGTGCTCGGCTCTGCAGCTGAACATGAAAAGCAAACTGATTTATCTTCTTCTACACCTCAGGATGATGGTTCCCTGTCTGGGATACAGTTTCACATTTTCTAACCGAGGAGGACCGGAGGAGGCGTTTCAGACAGACTGAATGCAGCTGCATCCAGCTCATCCACTCAGAGCTAACAGCTCCTCTGATGCTCTAAAATATGTTTGATAAAGTAGCACCTGTGGTTTTTAGACATTAATGAGAATCTAAGGAGAAAGGAAATCTAATCCTGGTTTCATCCTGACTGGGCCTCCATCCCAAATTGATGTGTTTAACCTTAGTATAATTTTGATTTGTTTCCAATTTCATTTTTGATTGATTTCAGTATTCCTGGTATGAAAATCGCCTTCTTTTCATTTGTGCTTTAAAAACTTATCTTAAAATAACTTTTATTTCAGCAGGTAAATAAAATGTTCGGTCAATGGAAAGGGTTTTCTTTTAATAAAAGAAGAGAATTTGGTATTATGTACTGGAAATAAGTAAACAAATATGTTTTTTATTATTATTATTTTAAGCATAACCATCTTATTCCACTAGCAAGCACACTTTGACATGGAGATCCACGCCTTTATCCACTCGATTGCTGTAATGCAGGGCGACAGTTGCGTCTGGTGTAGGAGTTTGCCCTGAAATCGAAAGGTTGATGGTTCAAGCTCTGGCTTTCAGTGGCGTTGCGTCCTTGGGCAAGACCCCTCGCCTGCATTGCTTACTGATGGTGGTCAGAGGGCCCGGTGGCGCCAGAGTACAGCAGCATTAGTTCTGTCAGTGAGCCCCAGGGAAGCTGTGGCTACAAATTAGCTAGCCAGCATTAATGTGTGTGTGAATGTAAAGCACTTTGGTCAAGTCTCCTGACATGAAACATTTACTTTATTTTGGTGTTAGTGGATCTTTCATTGCCCGTCTGCAGATAGTTCAAAATGCTGCTGCACAACTTTAAACTAAGTTTGATCATATCTCCACAGTTTTAAGTTCACTTCACTGGCTGTCCGGTTATTTTAGGATTCACTTTAAAATGATTTATTTTGTCTGAAGTCTTTAAAAGGCCTTGCTCCACCATCATGGACAAAATATTGATTATGGAAGTGGGGGGATGCAAGTATTTTCTTCTGAGTTTTATTTTCTCCTCTTTCTCTTGCATCTCTGCTATCCCTCTAATGACTAAATATATAGATGCATGACATGAACAGTTGGAAATTTTGGGATCAACAATCAATGTACATTAAAATCACATAGCTTTACAATTATTATGGACTTATTTTATTTATAAAACAATTATACATTTGATTTATCAGCAGTTCTAATAAAATTTATATATTTTACACATAAATTGAGAACTTTATAATGCGGAGGACGATCTTAAAGTGGATCTGCTGCTTTATGGAGCAACTGAAAGTGTTTTAGGAGGCTGTTGACATTTCTTTGAATGTAAATTACGCTTTGACTTTTAATGAAGTCTCTTATGTCTCTCTTTCTTTTTTTTTCACATATCCTGCCTGCGAGTCTAATAGCCAAACACACACACACGACACTAATTCAAAGATTCGTGTAAATTAATACATCCAAGGTGGGGATCACAGAAGACTTCATTTCTGAGTTTAAAAGAGCTGTAACTACTGGACCTTTTAGGTTATCTCAAAAATCCAAAAGCTACCAGAGATCAATTGCGACCATCCAGCTCTAATTACGGTAGAGAGTAGGACTTCAGCAGTGCTCTGATCATCCAATCACAGACCAGATTCAGAGCCGCATCAGTAGTTTTAAAGTGACTTTCTCGGGAGTGACAGCAGTGACAGCCAATCACACAAAGAAAGATGGTGGGTCAATCAGGAACTTGCAGGTGTTCTAAACTCAGGGAAACAGGCTTCAGCTTGAGCTGCGGTTGTCTGCTTGGTCCTAGTGCCTGATGGATGTTGGTGTATTGAATCATAACATTGTTTTTTGGACTTTTTACGTCCGTGCCCATCAGATATTGCTGATGTACATCGTTATGTACCGCTTTCCTTGTCTCAGCAGATCAATTAATCCTGTCAGTAGAACCAGGCCCCTTCGCCTTAGCCGGTCCCAAACTCTGGAATACTTTGCAACTGTTTAACCTCTTTGACCATTTTCTTTCAAAATCTCATATTTTCTCTCTGGCACAGAAAGCAGTTAAAGCCGGGCTTACACTGTACGATGTTTGCCCTTTTCTGGACGATTTTCCAGTCGTGCGAGAATTTTTCACTGCTGCACAGTGTGAGAACATGCATTGTGAGCTATAAACGTCTAAACCGTTGTAGAGTTTGAACTGTAGCTGGGTGCATCGATTGAAAATATCGCAAAGTGTATGCCCAGCTTAAGGTGTGGAAGTGATCCACTATGGGCTCGTCAGGGAGTGAGCAGAATCAAACATTCCTCAGAGAGTGATCTGTTAGTTTAAAGATTTTCCCAACAGCAGAGCGAACTGCAAAACCCTGAGAGGAAGGTAGTCTGAACCTTTCCGGAAACCACTCAGAAGGTAAAGGGCTGTTCCACCAGAACCCTCCGCTGATGTTCGATCGGACTCAAACCCAGTAACCTGCTCTGCTCCTCCTGGATATTCTCTGGAAGGGTTCCCTGTTCTGCTCAAACTTGGCTTCAGGGAGACGACCTCCTGCTTCCCAAACGCTACGGCTCATCAATCCTCGGAGCTCAACTCCGCCTCTCCATCCAAGAGGAGTTTAGCAGGATAAACGAGTTCAGCATCTGGGTCTGCTCTCCCCATAGATCCACCTCTGGAGGCTGCTGTTTAAATAGCAGCCATTTTATGATGCATTACGCTGAACAAAGTCTCAGGGTTACATCTCCTTCAGCCCGGGTGTAAGGGGGTTCAATATGGATTCCAGGAGAAGTTCTGTTGTTTGGCCTGTTTCTACACAATGGAAAAATGTCTGACCTGGAGGCCAACAGAGAAAGGCCTTGATCAGTCCGTCCTTTTCGACCACATCAACCATCTCATGTCCTCCTCCTTTGACTCAGACAGTTTGCTGTTGAATTCTCAAAGGAACGTTTTCTCCGACAATCTGACAAACAGATGCCGGCCTGATTGGATCGCTGCCCGGTCTGTGATGTGTCTCCGTCTGCATGTTCCTGCAGCTAAGATCAGGTCATGTGTGCACAGGCGGGGGTCATCTAAACATGGCTGCAGGGTTTCAGAGAAAGTCTTCACCTTGCTCCGCACTGCCTGTCGCTCTCGAAAAGCTCTATTAAACCAAAGTTTTCTGTTGTCAGACCAGTGAACCCAGAGCTCACCCAGTCAGCACGTCTCCACATTTTATGCTTCTTCTTCTGCAGAACTTCTACGGCGTCAATTTTGTTCCATTATGGTTGCAAGAAAAGAAAGTTTAAATAAAGATAAATTATTCGATAAAAGGGGTTTTGAGAGAAGCTTTGCTGTTTTTTCTCAGATCTATTTTTATTATTATTTAATTTTTACGGATTAGATATTTTCTATTTATTTTTTCCAATTTAATTTTTCATTCTTGCACTTCTTATCACATTCTCTTCACTTTCTTGGGGTGGGCTATCCTTTAAAAGAAGCAAAAACGTGTTTATACTGATCTGCATGAATGTTAGTATTATAAATGGAGCATGAAGTGAAGAGAATGTGACCATTTAAAAACTATCAGAAAACAATGAAACCATCTGTTAAACTCTGCGTAAAACTCCACCTGAACAACAGAAACAAAAAGGAATCTAAAAAAAATATAGGAAAATAAAATTTGATAAATGAAACTAATTGAATTACAAAAAAATCAAAATATACATTTTGTGAAAAAAAATTAAGGTAGATAATGATTAAAAAAATAAGATTTCAAAATACACAATTTAAGCTAGAAAAATGTGTAGAAAAATAAACTAAAAAAGGTTTTAACATAAATGATAAATATGAAACAAAAATGGTTTAAAAATACACTTTAAAATACTTTTTAGATTGTGGAGGAAATAAAATGAAAACAAATGAAAATAGAAAAATACATTTTAAGATAATTTGCTGAAGAAACTAAAACTGAAATCATAAAATTAGAAAAAAATTTATTTGAAAATATGAATTCTGCTTTAAAAAACTGGGGAAAAAATTTAATTAGAAAAAAAAATACAAAAAAATACAAATTTTTAAATAATAATAATATGAACATGATATATGAACAATAAATCTGAAAAATGAAATTTACATAACAAAAGCTGAGAAAAAAACTTATTGGACTTAAAACTTGTTTTTAATTAATACTTTTTTTAGTTTAATTTTGAGAGTGCGTTTCTTTTTTCTTTAGTTTTTTTTTCAAATTTCCATTTAGAAAACTTGATCCTGTTCTGCAATGGAACAAGGTTCCCTCCATGACGTCCAAACGTAGCGCGTTCTTCTGAAAGAACAACCATCGTTTCAGAGCTGACTGGGCTTCAGTCTGCGCCTTCCTGCTTCATAGTCTCGTTCTTTCAGCCTTGCTGCATCATGGTCTATGATTGTTAACAGTCTATCTTTCCAATGGGACTAATTGACCATGGTGGACCATTTCAATAGGATCCCTCCAGGCCACAGATGGTGTCCCAGAGGGTAAACACCCTGAACTCTCTGCAGGTGAAGCAAGAGCTGTGCACAGTTTTCATTTTCTTCCCCCTCAGTGAATCTAGTTCTAATTGTTTTTTTACATGAATTTACACCAGATGTATGAAACAGCCCCATAAAGGCATAAATCAAAGCAAAAGTGTTGAACACATAAAGGAAAGCAGAGAACACATAAAGGAAAGCAGAGAAAGCTGCTGACGTTTGTCTGTTTGTAGAACATCATCCCTTGAAGGACGGATCAACAAAAGCTCTGGTAGATTAAACAAACTGCTGGAAATACATAAACTAGTAAATCGCTCAATCATATTTCAAACAGAGGAAGAGGTTCAGAGAAAAAATGAAAGCAACATCGTTAAGAAAAAAAGGTAGAAATATTTTGAGGAAACAAGGAAGGTACTTACTTTGGGTAATTCATGCAGTACAGCGTGTAAATGTCGAAGGCTTCACTCTGGAAATGAGGAAAGATGAATTCAAACCACAAAAACTCCTTAAAACCTTTAGTTTGTTCAGCTAAATTAAGAACTTGATGAATGTGTTAGAGGAGAACCACAAGGCTGAACACTGGGCTCCTGCTTTATCATCAGGGTTTAATCTAATGGAAGCCATCTTAAACCCTTAGTTTAAAGTAAATCAATCAATCGCAAGCAAGTTTGGTTGTGGCAGGTTTATTGGAAGCATCTTGCTAACCAGTTAGCAACTTTGTGCTAGTAGCTTCCCAATGGGAAATTCCATTGGGACCAAGTAGCACTAAATTGGTGACTTAGAAACGACACTGTCAAGGAACGCTATGGACAGAGGACATGTGCAAGAGGAGGAGAGTTTCATGTTGGAGGTCCTGGATGAGTCTCCTCCGTCATCCGTTTTTTATTTAGAGGAGGAAAGCGGGGATGAAGATGTTGTGGAAGAGGACACCAGGGTGGCAGAAGCTTGGTTTGGTGTAGAAGGCTTCCAGCCGTACATGTTTGAGCCCTTGCCTCACAACGCTGCCAGTTCTGTTAGCTCTACGCCTGCTAAGACACAGACGTCCATCCCCGTGAACACATGAAGAATTAATGATTCTTATTTCAACCTTTGCGTATATTAGCTGCGACATATGAATCAAGATGCTATGACGGAAAAAATCTGATTGACAGATGAACGTTGATATATGATTGGCTGAATTTAGGCGTACAGGCTGACGTATAATTGACCTGCACAAGATAACAAAGAACAAAAAAACACAGATTTTAAGACAGGATATTTTTTAATAGACAATATAGTCTGATAAAGAGTACATTTATAAACATGTTTAAACCAGAATGATTTGACCTTTAAATATAATTTCCCTATGACTTTAATTATCTTATCTGTTTTAAGATCTAGGGACTTTTACTTTTGGGTTTGAATTGCAGATAGTTTGGATTTTATAAAATAGTGCATCATATACACTCACCGGCCACTTTATTAGGTACCTAGTAACCGTTATGCTAGTAACGGGTTGGACCCCCTTTTGCCTTCAGAACTGCCTCAATTCTTTGTGGCATAGATTCAACAAGGTGCTGGAAGCATTCCTCAGGGAGTTTGGTCCATATTGACATGATGGCATCACACAGTTGCCGCAGATTTGTCGGCTGCACATCCATGATGCAAATCTCCCGTTCCACCACATCCCAAAGATGCTCTATTGGATTGAGATCTGGTGACTGTGGAGGCCATTTGAGTACAGTGAACTCATTGTCATGTTCAAGAAACCAGTCTGAGATGATTCCAGCTTTATGACATGGCGCATTATCCTGCTGAAAGTAGCCATCAGAAGTTGGGTACATTGTGGTCATAAAGGGATGGACATGGTCAGCAACAATACTCAGGTAGGCTGTGGTGTTGCAACGATGCTCAGTTGGTACCAAGGGGCCCAAAGAGTGCCAAGAAAATATTCCCCACACCATGACACCACCACCACCAGCCTGAACTGTTGATACAAGGCAGGATTGATCCATGCTTTCATGTTGTAGATGCCAAATTCTGACCCTACCATCCGAATGTCGCAGCAGAAATCGAGACTCATCAGACCAGGCAACGTTTTTCCAATCTTCTATCGTCCAATTTCGATGAGCTTGTGCAAATTGTAGCCTCAGTTTCCTGTTCTTAGCTGAAAGGAGTGGCACCCGGTGTGGTCTTCTGCTGCTGTAGCCCATCTGCCTCAAAGTTGGACGTACTGTGCGTTTAGAGATGCTCTTCTGCCCACCTTGGTTGTAACGGGTGGTTATTTGAGTCACTGTTGCCCTTCTATCAGCTCGAACCAGTCTGGCCATTCTCCTCTGAACTCTGGCATCAACAAGGCATTTCCGCCCACAGAACTGCCGCTCACTGGATGTTTTTTCTTTTTCGGACCATTCTCTGTAAACCCTAGAGATGGTTGTGCGTGAAAATCCCAGTAGATCAGCAGTTTCTGAAATACTCAGACCAGCCCTTCTGGCACCAACAATCATGTCACGTTCAAAGTCACTCAAATCACCTTTCTTCCCCATACTGATGCTCGGTTTGAACTGCAGGAGATTGTCTTGACCATGTCTACTTGCCTAAATGCACTGAGTTGCCGCCATGTGATTGGCTGCTTAGAAATTAAGTGTTAACAAGCAGTTGGACAGGTGTACCTAATAAAGTGGCCGGTGAGTGTATGTTATTAATATAACAGTTATCAGTTTATTAATTGGATTAAATAAGTAGGAGTCAGCAAATATGAAAATAATGTGTTAGATAATGAGAACACAGAACCGCTGCTGCTGGTGGCTGAGTAATATGATCAACCAAGGAGCACCTCAGAGCTGTGTCTTTAACATAATCCATAATACCAAATGCTTTCAGGATCACAAATTACTTCATTTTTGAATAATTTTCTTTCTGTGAATGATTTTAAATAATACCTATATGCAAAGCAAGCAGAAATATTGGGTTTCCTACATAAAAAACAGATGCTCACTGAAAGCAAATAAAACAAAAATCAGTAATTTATGATAGGTGATAACATAAAGCAGAAATTCAAATAAAACAGATAATTAAAACTCAGACATAAAGTGAGGAAAATAAGTATTTGAAAAAATCACAAATAATTCTGGATTTTTTTGGGAGGATTATGTCTCTCACAGTGGAAATGCACCTATGATGACAATTTCAGACTCCTCCACGATTTCTAAGAGGGAGCACTTGCAAAATAGTAGGTTCTTCAAATGCTTAGTTTCTCTGCAAAAATAAAAAGCTCTTTCTTTCCCCCAACATCATCTCAGTGGGATGATGTCACCTTTTAGAAAACTGCTTTAAACAGCATGACAGTGTTTGGTAACTGGATCGGTCAGTCAGGAGGTCTCCCAGTGGAAATTCCCACCGTGGACCTAAAATAACCCTGAAAGTCTCCATATTTTAATCCAATGTTCCCAGTTACAAACAGGAAGTTCACTTTAGCTTTAATCCAAACAAACTAGCTGAAAATCTGATAGGATTCTAAACTGTGAAACACAAATAATTCCAAAGATTTTCTTCATATTTTAGTTCTAAATAGAAAGTCTGCTTTTGTTGAACTGTATGTTTTAGCGACTCATCATAACTAATAAATCAGATCCAAAGCCAGTTAAATTTTCTGGATAAAAAAACCCCCGTATGTTTGTGTTTAAGTTTTACTCTAACATGAAAGGAGCATAAATCCTGCTTCGAACACAAACACGTCTCTTTATTCAGCAGATCAAACTGAATCAGGTTGCCTTGAGGACTTTGCTGCTTTTTAACCGTTTGACACCGGGCCGCACTCACCCGCTCCACAAAGCACTCTGCAATGGCCGCCGCATCTGGACTCCGCTCTAAATCCTCCAACAGATCACTGAGGAAACAGACAGGAAGAAAGCTTCAACAGTTGATCCAAGTCCTGCTGAAGAATTACATACTGGATGGAGGGGAAGAAAACTGACAGCCTGGCTGCAGAGACCTTGTTTATTCTAAATCTGCGAATTAACAAATTAATCATTAAACATCAAAATAATTGTATATATATATATATATATATATATATATATATATATATATATATATATATGTACATATACAAAAAAAACCATATGAGTAAAGCTGACTAAGAAGCATTTCAGTATCATGATCCATCCATCCATCCATCCATCCATCCATCCATCCATCCATCCATCCATCCATCCATCCATCCATCCATCCATCCATCCCAGGCCAGCCGAGAAACATAGTCCCACCAGCGTGTCCTTGGTCTCCCCCTGGTCCTCCTAACGGTGGGACGTGCCTGGAACACCTCACCAGGGAGACATCCGGGGGGCATCCTAACCAGATGCTGAGCCAGCTCAACTGGCTCCTCTCGATGTGGAGGAGCAGCAGCTCTACTCCGAATGACTGAGCTCCTCACTCTATCTCTAAGGGAGAGCCAGACACACTACGGAGAAAACTCATTTCAGCCACATGTATCCGGGATCTCGTTCTTTTGGTCATGACCCAGAGCTCATGACCATAGATGAGGGTAGGAACGTAGATCCAGCGGCAAATCGAGAGCTTTGATTTTTGGCTCAGCTCTCTCTTCACCACAACAGAGCGGTACGGCACACGCTTCACAGCAGACGCCGCACCGATCCGCCTGTCAATCTCCCGCTCCATGATATATTCAACCTTAAACAACCTTCACCTTTTAAATTCTACCCTTAAAAATAAAAGTTTTCCAAGTCTGTCCATTAACTTTGACCAATTTTCATTTTGGGTCACATATATTTATGTGAACCAGCTGTACCCTTTAAGATAAAACAATGCAGCTTTAGAGATGGAAACAACCCAAGAGGTGAAATTAAACTTGTGTGAGAGGTCGCTTCGGTTTATTTGGAGACTCAGAAAACATCCCACAGTAAGTTTGGACCATTGTTGTGGTTGTGCATTTCAGCCATGGAGAAAACTGACGAAGCAGGGTCGCCGTGTTTCCACATGACACTAAACTGACCTGGGAACAGCTGGCAGACCTTCAACACCACACTCTGTTCCCACAGTCCGTCCTCGCAGTCATCGCTCCGACCTGCCAAGTCCAAACACAGTCCCCCTCCTCTATCTCTGACTTGTAACTCTCCTGTTTCTTCTGTGACCTTCATATATCTGTTACACTCTCTTTATGAAACACAGATGTGTGAAAGAGCCACTGCAAGAGCTGAAACTCACTGTCATTAATCCCAGGAACAGTCCGATGGAAAACAGCCGAGCGGCTCTGTTTGAGACTGGAAGTTTGGGTTGAAACCCTTCAGAGCAGCTGGCTTTGGTTTCTACATCGTATTTAATGCTTAATCTGTTTAAATATATATTAAATATGACAATACGAACCTCTATGGCACTTTTCTTAAATATCAGAGTATGGATTTCACAAAATAGTTCATCATATGTGTGCTTTCATTTAGGTTTTTATTAAAAAAGATATCAGTTTATACATTTCATTAAATGAATCAGATTTAGCAAATATGGGAATAATATCTTAGATTATGAGAACACAGAACTGCTGCTGGTGGATGACAGCAAACCAAAAAAGTGTTGCTTTAAATGAGCCAAAGTCCAAACTCTGCCAGTCTACACTGCAAAAAACAATCTAAAAATGAGTTAAAATGTCTTAAATTAAGTGTATTTACCCTTAATTTGAGCAGGTAAATAAGATAATATGCCAATGGAATGAGTATAAGATAATTAGATAGTATGCACTTTGAATAAGAGACTGCAGTTGTTTTTTTCTTATTTTAAATGTAAATTGTCTTATTCCATTGACAAAGTGTATCACTTAACTGCTTAATTCAAGAAAAAATGCTTTAATTTTAAGGAAAATAAACTTACTTGGATTTCAGTTTTTTACAGCTTACTGTGGACATGATCGATTGAGGTGTGCCTCAAAGCTGTGTACTCGGACCAGTACTCTTATTTCCCATAATGGTCTCAAAATTCATTTTAATGCTGATGATGCTATAAAAATCCTACACCCAGATTTGATCTTTTACTCCAAATTAACCTCCACCTGCGATACTGGAAAAAATCCCCCTTAACATCTTAACTTTTAACAGCTGGCCACCTCGTAAATTAATGCATTTATGACTATGTCGTATTATTTCCAAAAGAAGCAAGGAACGGAATGTCTGTTAATATGAGTTGAAGCAGTGTCTCTCAACCCCTCTACTCCAGCGCACCTGATTCATAGAAACATGTTAGCTCCACAGCTTACCATCAGGGAAACACCTAAAACATACAGAATATTTAAAGCATCTCATGTATGAACAATTGCAAATTAGCTAAAATAAATCTGCTTTTAAAATAATCTAGAATTAGTTCATTTAAATTATGACATTGACATTACTCAATTTTTTTTTTACTTTTACCCATTTTTTTTTTTTCCTGCAAGCAGAACTTTTCCTTCTTTTATTTCTGGCCAGATGGGGCCACTAAAAATCTTGGGGTGGCACACTGAATCTAAAAGTCATAATTTCAGGGTTTGAATCTACTATTGTGGTAAACCTGCCTGTAGAGATTGTAAAGATTTAAGTAATCAACTACTATTATCTTGGTTTATTGTGTGATTTTAATGTCACCACGCTGGATGTGCATAATGGGATGAAATGCTAAACTGATTGTACTACAATTTACACTGGGCATGGCCACCCTGTGCAATGCCCTGGCCAGCCACTGGTGGCACCACTGCCTTCAACAGGCTGAACTGGTTCTCAGTCCGATGTAAGAAGCCTCATTAGGTTCCAGATCTGCTCGGGTCCTTCGATGCCAGTGACGCTACGCTACCTGATTGGCTGAACGTTGCCACTTGATGTAAAACATGGTGGTTGCCCAGACAACGATAACATCACACAGCGTCCGTTAGCATGTCTAATGATCGATGAAGTTTTACCTGATCGATAACAACAATGAAAAAAATCTGGTTATAGTGAACAAAGTAACTGTTAGAACCTGATATAAAGGGGGGGAGCTGGGTAGCGCTGTGGCTAGCTGTGCTCAGTAGCTAACAGGTTAGCCTGTTTTTGTCATGATGGTTTTAGTTTTAGCTCAATCAGTTAGCCATATTGAGCTACACTACTTTTGAATTTGTATCAACAACAGCTGTTCATTTTCTTTAAGTAGAATAACAGTTTTTTTCTTTGTCTAAAATATCTAGGAAAGTGATTTTTTGGGGTTTTCTATTTGTCTTTCCCTGCCCTCAGATCTTAATAAAAAGAATTAAAAAATGAACTGAGACTTAAGGTGTCACCTTGTTAAATGGCAGAGCTCTGTCTGTCTTAGAAGGCAGTACTTTCCTTCAAGACTGACGATTATTGTTTTTTACTTTCGGCTACTTTAGATCGTCAATGAAACGTAAAATAATAGCAAATAAAGGTAAATATGTTGAAAATCCAAAAGAGATTCAGTCCTTCAGAAACAGGTGGACTAGAGTTTGTCCGAGTGGAGTTTCCATATGTTGACGTCATAAGAAGGGGCAGGACCCCGAGTAGATCTGGTACCCATGCCTCATCAGGACAACCCAGAAGAAGTAGATTAGTTTTACTGGGGAAAGAACCACTGGTGGAGCCAGTCCCTGCAGCAAGGAGAAGGACTGATGTGGTAGAACAATGAAGCAGAAGCAGAAAGTAGGCAGCTTTGCTTCAACCCACAGCAGGCACTGTTTTCCATTCTCTACCAATAACTTTCTGATTCAATTCATTGGATTTCCATGTGGTTACTTAAGTTTTTTTTTTTATCTCTGAAGTTACCAATAGAAATCAGCAAATCAGCCTTTCTTTAAACTCCAGAGAGACCAAGTAAAGTTCAGCTAAAAGTCAGACCTTTAAGCAGCTGAGAAAGTGACTTCTTTTTGAAGGCTTACCTTACTTTCTCCTATGGCAGTGCTGTCTTAGAATAGCGTCAGAAATAAAGCTGATTTAATTTTCTTTTTTGTTACAGAGTTAAATCATTAGGAAGTATAACTAGAAGTGGCCAGTAATAACTCAGTAACAAATAATTATTATGATGTAAATAATGAGAATTTATCATGATATTTGAGTTTGTATAATTATTTTCTTTGTGTTTGTGTTTTAATCCATTTCTTCTTGTCTATTATGTTCTAAATGTTCTTTCCATATTCTGTTACTCTGTATCTCTGTATTATCTTTAATGTGTTGCCGTACTAGATAATTTTTCTGTTTGTAGTTTCTGAGTTCATTCCTTTGTTATTTTTCTCCATGTTGTAGTTTATTCACTTTGGTTGTTACCGGGTTTCCCACTTATTTTGAAGTTTATCTTTAACTTCTTAGCTAATTAGTCGACCATATTCAGTTTCCCTACTTCCATTCTCCCTCAGCTGCTCTATACAGTCAGATTATCTCCCCTGCATCTAATGTCACTCTCCATGTTTTTAAGGTTTTTAAGCTAATTGACTGCTGGATCCTACTTTTTTTTTTTTTTACAAGCTTTATTTTTCTTTTTTTCTTTCAGACTGAGTTTTATGGATTGCCTTTTTTTTACAAGTTGAATTTAACAAATCACGTCCTCTTCACCTGAAGTTCAAGTTAAGCGATCACTCTTAACCAATAAATATGTTTTTATAACATCCGTGCAGAACAATAGAAAAGAGTCGTCACTCAGAGGAAAGGAAAGCCCAAACCAAAAGTGAAAAAAAAACACGATCTGCAAAATATAATTTAGAAAAGAATGACATTAGTAAAACTCAGCCTGAAGGAAATACATTTGTAAAATTAGATTTCAAAATATACAATGTTTCAAACGAGTAAAAAAAAAAAAAAAAAACAATAATCAGAAAAAAAACTAAAATCTAATAAAACAGCAACGTTTTTTGAGATTACAACG